ACTTTGTCACAACCAAGGAACCAGCATTGGTACATTACTGATATCTAAACTGGACTATATTTGGAATTCACTGGTTTTTCTATTAATGTCTTCTTTGTGCTCCAGGGTACCACAGTACCTTTGATTGTCATGTTTCCCAGGCGCCTCAGGTCTGTGCCAGCTTCTCAGGCTTTACTTGACGGTCTTTGGGAGTACTGGCCAGGCAACCTGTAGAACATTCCCTAACTTGAATTTGTCTGATGTTTTTCTCATGGTTTTACTGGGGTTATAGGTTTAGAGGAAGGACACACCAGAGGCGAAGTGCCCTTCTTATTACATCATATCTGGGCCAGGTGCTATCAACCTGATGTATTACTGGGGATGTTAAGCTTAATATGTGGTTAAGCTAGTGGTGTTTGCTAGGTTTTTGCACTGTGAAGTTACCATTTTCTCCTTAAGAAGTTGTTAGAAATCAATTTTTAAATGACAGAAATAATACATAAACATCTTCTCCTTGTGAAAAATTGAAACATCACTGAAAAGTTAACGCTTTAACTAATGGGAATTCTAATACTGGTCCCCATTCCACTTCCTCAGAGGTAAACACTGTTACTGCTTCAGCCTTTTCAATACATTTACGTTCAAATATATGTCCTCATAAATATATATATATGTATATATGGTATAAAATTTTGTGTTTTAGTTTTCTATATAAATTATCTGTCATACTCTATGGATATCTTTGTTAACTTGCTTTTTTCACCCAACAATATGTCTTAGAGATCTGTCTCTATTGTTCTTTTTAATGCCTGCATTATATTTTATTATATACTACAGATCACACAGACACCTCCCTGTGGATACTTGTTGCCATTTTTTTTACCCCATTAGAAAGCATTCCTAGACAATGGACTCTGAAAAACAAACTGAGGGTTCTAGAGGGGAGGGGGGTGGGGGGACGGGTTAGCCTGGTGATGGGTATGGGTATCAAAGAGGGCACATTCTGCGTGGAGCACTGGGTGTTATGCACAAACAATGAATCATGGAACACTACATCAAAAACTAATGATGTAATGTATGGTGATTAACATAACAATAAAAAATAGTAACAAAAAAGAAAAGAAAGCATTCCTACTGAACTTTCTTGTACATGCCTCCTTGTGCACACGTGTGTTTCTTTAGAGTAGATATTTAGAAGTAGATTTTCTGGGTCACTGACATGCACATTCAAAATTTTCCATAGATCCTGCTGAAGTAGTATACCATTTTTTCCCCTAACCAGAAACTTACGAGAGAACCTGCTTCCCCACATTTTGACTTTGAATATGTTTGTCTGAACATCGATAATGTTTGTAATGTTTCTATCACAGTTTGAATTGGCCCTTTATTTACCATTGGCATGTAAGGCTGGCAATCTTTTCTTTATACATAATTCTTTTTCCAGATTCACTTAAAGATCTGGATTTAGGGGATAAAGAAAAAATATCAGATTTTTCTTATCATTGTTAATTGAAGATAATTTATAACTAGAAAGAGAGAATTCTGGTCCAAAAAGACTGCATTTTTTTTCTTTCGGATATCCTTTTGGAAAAACTTAAAAATAATTTAACTATAGTCCTAATTAGAAGGAATAGACCAGCCAGCCCTGTGTGGATCCTCCCAAACCTCCCAAACTTGTATTATATCAAGTTACTCGTATCCAATGCCATTCCCCAAGAAAACATGTTTATTAAAATAGCTGTTTATGTACAGACATTAAGTGCTACTATTGACCATCATATTTCTGAAGATGCGGTTTAAATTGGTCACTGTTCTTTAACTTTATGGAGTGCTGCAGTGGCAGAAAACACTATATCCTTTGCCTCTTCTTTTGCTTCTTCTCACTGGCCACACGGAGGAGAGGAGAAGGGGACAGCCGTTTTTTTTTCCCCGATCAGCATTAACTGCTCCCCTCCATTTCCAGAAACAGAATGAGGACATGGTGTGCCCTCACAAAAGTGCTGTTGTATACAGTAGTTCCAACGTGCAAGAAGTTCAGGGGAACAGAAAACACGTCTTTTCTGGTTTCCCTCATCAAATTTAATAGAGCATTTAAAACACAAACATTTTCTGTTGACAATAATGACATGCATTTATCATATAAAATTTGGGAAATGTAGAAAAGCTCAAGGAAGAAAATAAAAATCAGCCATAATTTTACCACCCAAATATAACAATAATATTGTTAACATATGGTTTCTATCCTTCTAGACTTTTTACTCTGTGGATATACACAAATATACTGTGGGGACATTTAGGAGGTGGGAAATGCATCATAGACTTAGTTTCCCTCTGATTCCTGCCCCCCCCCCACTCCACCTCCCACTCCACTGCCCCTGCCAGTTTCCCAGAAGAAAATGAGATTTGCAATCAGTGGAGATCTCGAAACTGTCACAATACTGGCCAAGACCATGCTGGCAAAGACCCAGCTACCAGGTAGAGTAAATGTCAAAGGATTTACCTACCCAGGAAGAAGGAACAAACACAGGTGGTGTTGACATTCTGGCTTCTGGTAGGCCCCACCGCTTACCTGCACCATGTCCAGTCCTCTTAGGGGAAGACTCTCGTGCACTTCGGGTGTTTCCTAAGCAGCTGACGTTTGTGGGCTGTAGCTGGTTCTCTTTTTCCGGAGGGTGCTGGGCTCTCTCCCTCTACTCACCCAACCTGGTTGTGCCCCCCTCCTTTCTTCCTGGCTGCCTAAGGGTCCAGCGCTACTTCTGTGGCTTGCTCAGTCATACCTATTCATAGTGTCTTTCACCGTAACTTGATGTCACTTTCTGTTCCTCCCTATGTAATTCTGGGTAATTTTAGAAGCAACTGGAAAAGTCACGATCCCATCAGAGAAAGGCGGTGGTTCTGAGCCTGCCCTCTGGAGCCACACCAGGCAAGGCTGAACTGCAATGTAAGGGCACCAGAGACCTGGGAGGCAGAAGTCTTCAGGAGAGCCCCTCTCACCCAAAATTCTGGGCCATATAGAAACTGCCAACATTCAACTTCCCTCATAGAGTATATGCTTTCCTACAGATTTTCTATAAGTGAGATTCTCTTAATTTGGGGATGATGATCTTACGTTTCTGTATGAAAGAACAGGAGTGCCTCATGTTACCTCCTAGGGTCTTTCCCAGTCCTAGGGTTGTGGGATGTTTACAGGGAAATACACTGATGTTCCCACTTACCCAGAACAGACAGGAACTAACTCTACCCCCAGGCAGAATGGGAAGCCATTTCACGATACTCGATTAGACAACTTTCTCTCTCACCCACTCTTTCTAATATCCCTGCCCCCAATTTTCTTTTCTACTGCTTGTCATAAAGACCAATAGTGTATCTTTGGAGTCTTTGGTAGTGTATTAGTTAAAATTATATTTGGCTGTTGGTCATAATTAAACACAAAGTAGAAGAGGATTAAAGGAGATGGGAATTTCTTTCTCTCTTCTTCATATTAAGATCCAGGGAGAGGGAGTACAGCGCTAGCGTGATAACTCTGTTCTATGGAGTCCTCAGGGACCCATTCTCCTTCTATGCTGGAGTTCCAACGGATGCAGCCTCCGTACCTGAGATCAACACCTGGTCTGAGATGGTGCTCCAGCGGTTACATTCTTGTCCTAAGCAGCAGGATGGACAATGGGGGTGAGAAGCTGCCACTTCAGGGAAAAATTCCCAGAAGCTGCCACATGGCATTTTCACTTTCATTCCACTGACCAGATATGTAGTCACATATCTACACCTAGCTGCAAAAGCGACTTGGAAATGTCATCTCCATCTGGGTGGCCATGTGCCACGATAAATATTTAATTACTATAGGAAGAGAGGAAAATGGATCTTGGGGAACAACCAGCAGTTTTTGCCAGAAGGACTTATGGGAATTCCAAGAACTATTAGAATATAAGTAACCCAAAGAGGGGGGTTCCAAGCTAACTCATTGTCACTCGGTGTTTTTGTGGGTATCGGCACCACTATGAAAGAGCATTTCTTATGAGAATGGGGTGTATGCCCAGGGACAGGCAAAGAGGACAGCTAAGAAGGGGGCTGCCAGAGAACCAAGGGCAGGCTCATTCATCAATATCACCTTCTTCAAGTTTTCCTAGGACTCTGTGTATGTGACCTCATCCTGCTCGACAACAGGAAAAATGCCTGTAGAAATAAACATAAGCCACAAATTCTGTGATAGATCCTGCAGGGCTGACTGACTCCTGCAGTCCATGGGCAGGTGGGGAACTAGCATGTTTTGGGCACCCATGAGGTGCCAATCACTATGTGCTAATTCTCACAGCAATTTATTTTCTATTATTATGCCATTTTATAAGTATGAAAACAGGATCAAGACTTTAAATAATTAGATCATATAGCTAAAAAGTAGAAAGAGGCATTTAATCCATTGATCTCTCTCAGCCTGGAACAAGGCTAGGTTAGAGACAGTCAAGGTTTCAAACATCTACAAATGTGTGTATCAACTTTTCATAAGTGAATCAGGTAAAAGGTGTGTGTGTTTTGGGGGGGGTTGGCATTTAAAAGCTGTGAATCGGGCTGTCTGGGTGCCTCAGTCAGTTAAGCATCTGCCTTCAGCTCGGGTCATGATCTCCAGGTCCTGGGATTGAGCCCCGCATCAGGCTTCCTGATGTCTGCTTCTCTCTCTCTCTCTCTCTCTCTCTCTCTCTCTCTCTCTCTCTCTCTCCCTCTGCCCCTCCCTACCACTCATTCTCTCTCTCTGTCTCTCTCAAATAAACAAAATCTTAAAAAAAAAAAAGCTGTGAATAGTTGTGTAAAACAAAGACTAAATAATAATAAAAACAGTAGCCTCTAATTTATTTTAGAAATCCAGATTTTCCTATGACACGTTGCAATGGATCCAGATGCTCTTCTGTTTGTTCATCTAAAGATCCTTTGGATCATGGGATTTAATTTTGTGGTGACCCACCTGTGACTTTGTTAATGATATTGCAAATGTTTATGTAATTCAACTAATGCTACTTTTTTGATAGAATGAAAATATGAGGGAAGATGACCTTTCAATGGAACAAAATGAAAATGACCTAGCACAAATTAGTCGCTGCCAACATGCTGATGAGCCTGTCAAGCAGAAAAAAGAGAAAGGGTAAAATTAAATCATGTTATTGCATACTCAAGGAAATGAATTAAACCCGGTGGGGAAAATTGAGTGACTGATTAATAGGTGGGTTACATGTTAACTCAAAAATATTTGAAGCTGAAATAAAAGCAAGACTGTTAAAGCAGGTCAGACAACTAAATTAATGTTTCACCCTAGGACTGTTTTTTTCACAAGAGCAATTGCTAAGAGAAATTTCTTTTTATATTTATACATATGGAGTAATTATTTTTCATCTAATGCATTTTTAAAAAGTAACTACTGTGAAACTCCCTTAAGTTAAATAAAATGACTTCAGTTTGGTGTATATGAATTTTCCGAACCACTTTGAGGTGAAAAGCATTCATTCTATTTTTCCTGTCTGCTAAAGGTACAGCTATGCAATGGCCCTACAACTGCTGGGTTTGGATGGTGGGAGTGGGCCCAGTAATAGGGGTCCTGTCCTGATGAGAGGGACCTACTTGTCCTTTCCGTATCTGCGCCACCTGCAAATCAGGGAGCTGCAGGTATGTGGATGGCATGGCATGCTGGCTTCAGGCATCTGGAACGTTTCGTTGTCTAGCAAGGTGGCTTTCCTGCTATTCCAGTAGCAACACATTTTTACACTTTGTTCTTTGTTCTGATTTTTCCACAAAATCAGGCCTTTCTGGGGGTGATGTTTCTCTCTCAGCAGTGGAGTTGACTTGCCAACTTCCAGGGCCCCATTCGGTTTTACTCTGTTGTGTGGGGCGAGCAAAGGGCAGGGTCCTGACCTGGTTTCAGCGCACCTGTCTAGGAATTCTGAACTACTTCAGATCCGTTGAGCGAACACTGACAATCAACACTTCAGGCCTTACCTTGGTTGCAGGGAGTCTGGTCCCCACCATAGAAGATAGCTCCTGGGTAAACAGGGCCAAAGGAGGCTTGGGCACCTTGCAAGGCATAGGAGCTCACCACTATGTCCATGGAAGAGCCGCCGAGCACAAGGTGAGGTTAAGGTTCTGCTGAGAGTTTTTTCTGCGTCGGTTATCCTGTCTCCCAAGACACCTTCTTAGCACCTGGAATCAGTTAACATGCTAGAGTAACAGCTGGGGGTTTCTTAGGGATATGGCTTTTTAGAAAAGTTCAGTGTCCACTTGAGAGTAGGACACAGGCAGAGAGGACTCTTAACAGCAACCCTGGAGGCCGCAATAGGAAAGAAGGCATTTCAGCTAGGCCCCACCCAACAGCAAGGCACTAGGAAGTGCCAAACCTTCTGACATATTTAATATCTGTCTCTTTCCACTAAAGAGTTCCATGATGGCGGGGGTTTGTGCCAATTTTGTTTACTGCTGTATCCTTAGTGCCTAGAACAGTGCTAGTAAATTCACTGATCAGAACATTTGTGGAATGAATGAGTGAATGAAGAGATGAATGAATGACAGGTTCATAGCCTGTGGGAGTAGAGGAGCCAACAGTCTAGTATGGCCATGAGCTGAGTGCTATAATGGAGTTAGACAAGTCATGGGGAGAAGCACTCAGCTCTGCATGGAGATATAAGGAAGGCTTCCAGAAAGGTGTTATTAGAATGGACTCTTGGATAGGATAGGTACTTACCAAGAAAAGAGGAGGCGAGGGATGGAAGGGCCCATATGTATGAGGCCCAGAGGCATGAAGAGCTCTGCCTATTCAGAAGAGGGCCAGACCCAGGTCCATCAGGATGGAAGTATGGAGACAGTGGAAGGAAATGAGGTCCGAGAGGTTGGCAGGGGCCAGATTGTGCTCAGCCTTGAAAACTACACCTAGAAACTCCTAGATTTGTCCTAGTGAAAGCTAATAAGAGCTTGGACTAGGATGGTGGGTGGTGGAGATGCAGAGAAGTGATGGATTTGAGGGGTAGGAAGTCAAATCAACAGGAGTTAGTGATAGACTGGACAGTAGGTGTCAGGAATGATTCATGCAGAGGAAGTGGCTTGGTGGTGGTGGTGGTATTTACTAAAATGGGGAAGTTGGAGATGGCCTAGGTTTGTGGAAGAAGACCACATGATTTGATCATGTTAAATTTGAGGGGTCTTTGAGATGCCCAGGAACAGATGGCAAATAGGTCATTGGATGTGTGGATCTAGAGCTCTAGGAGGTCTGGATTACAGATATCAGTTAGGGAGTAAATGATCCCTAATCTCAGTTGTGAAAGTGTACTACCTCCTAAGGAAGAAGTATAAGAGGAAAAGATGTGGTCCTAAGACTGGAGCTTAAGTGTGACTACTATTTAATGACCTGACAGAGAAAAATACACCTCAGGGATGGCTGGAAAGCTGGTGAGAGCCAGGAGAATGTGGAGTCCCAGCAGGCCGGGGAAGTGAATCAAGAAGCAGAGAGTGCAAAACTGTGTCACATGCTCCTGAGACATTACATAAGATGACTAAAGAAAGTCTGCTGGATGTGGAGAAAAGATCACTGTTTTTCTTAGTGAAAGTGGTTTGCTTTGATGGAGATAGGAGCTGGATGGGAATGAGTGAGCAGTAGGAGGTGAGGAAATGGGGACAGTAAATGCAGATCCCATCTTGGGAGGTTGGATCATAAGGAGGAGGAGAGACCAAAGATGGGACCTGGGGAGGGGCAAGAGGGATGTGAGCATGTTTCAGTGTCAGTTGAGAAATAGCTGGTTGAGAGGAATTGGGTATCCAAGAAAGAGAAGGGATGCTTCAGAGGGGATGGAATGGCCACAGAGAAGGGGAGCAGAGTTGTTCCCTATAGTACAGGAGGAAGCAAGAGGAGAGAGGCATGGGTGCAGTGGCTCTATGTGGACGGGGGTGGACAAGTGGCAGGGGGGGCTTCTGCTGAGACAGAGTGAAGGCTAGGCGTGGGATGGGGTGAATTCAGAGTCTTGGCAAGGGTGAAGTTTGGAATTATGAGAATTATTATTAGAATAATGGTTCTCAGGATGCAACAATTCCTCGGTCATTTAAGAAAAAGTGTGATTGGAATACCCAGATTACTTACGTTGGTTTTCTAGAGCTGTCATATCAAAACACCACAAAGTGAGAGCCTCATAACAATGGCAGAGAACATTATTTTGTCATAGTTCTAGATGTCACAAGCCCAAAATCAAGGTGTCAGCAGGGCCATGCTCCCTCTGAAGTCTCCAGGAGAAGTTCCTTCCTTGTCTCTCCTAGCATCTGGCCCTTGCTAATAATCCTGGGTGTTACATGGCATTCCTTGGCTTGTAGATGCATCACTCCCATCTCAGTCTCCGTCCTCACATGGCCTTCTCCCCCATGTATCTACCTCCACATTTTCCTCTTTCTATAAGAATATCAGTCATTGGATTAGGGCCTCCCTAATAAAGTGTGACCTCATCTTAACCTATATATATCTGCAAAGACTTCCTTTCCATATCTGGTCATATTCACAGGTTTCAGGTGGACATGAATTTTGGGGCGATGCTATTCAATTCAGTATACTACTAAGACATGAGACTGTATTAATGCATTTTAAAGGTATTTGTATAATTAAAATAAAAAATCTTTAACAGTTAATGTTTATAGATCTCAAGTGCTTCATCAGCACAGTGTCACGTACTCCCTGTAACAACCTTTGTGGTATCTCCCCTGTCCCCATGTTATGGATGAGGAAACAGAGGCTGAGAGTAGCTGAGTGACTGGCCTGAGACACAGGCACTCTGACTTCAGAGACCAGATATAACATTCAGCTCTATTGCCTGCCTTTTTCCAGGTAACCCTGAATTCATCAGAAAAAACTTAATCAGCTATCTCCCTACCCTTCCCTGCCAACACTCTGCTAATATCTCCTTCCTTACATGCAGCGCTTTATACATTTGGTAGGTACAGCTCCATGCTGACAGCCCACTGCATGAGAGCAGAAGCCTGCTATGTGGTCCATTCGGGCTAGCAAAATATATCTCTCCCTTTTCTGGTAACTTCTGGGTTTGGCTTTCTTTTCCCTAGGTCCACAGTGTCCAATTCATGGAGTTCTCGGAAGTGGAGAAACCAGGATGACTACTACAGCATGGGTGCTGCTTCCATCTACACGCAGGACCAGCATGGAGTACATATCATATATGATGAAGCCTTGAGTGATCTGAAGGAGCTAGAGGCAGAACTGCTGCTTGTGGCCAGCCATTACATTGAGAAAGAAAAAGGTCAGAAGTCAGATTTTTTAAAACTCAGCGAGCCAAACAAACAATAAACACTAAGGGCTCCATTTAACACCTTCTACCTCAAAATAAAAATGCATATCCAAGAGTATGTGAAAATTCAGTAAGCACATACACCTCCCCAATATACATACACCTTCTTTAGAAAAGATACGGTTCTGTTTCCAGCTCAAGGCCCTCAAATCCCTCTTCTTGTTGGAGACTGTAACTATTCTTTCAAAGCTTGATTATAATTCTTACTGTTGCTTAGACTCTACTCGTTCCTCAGTGGCATTTCTGCACTACTCGCTGGGTGCAAGCGGTGTCATTCTGGGCCCTGAGGGAAGCAACGTAAGCAAGTGAAGGTAATGATTTTTTTCCCCTAAGTGACAAAAAAAAAGTGATTGACCTTGGGCAAACAGCAATTAGAAGCAGACACATCCCTGGAGTCCTGACAAAAAACCACCAGGATGCAAGAAGTTCTGGGTAGAAAAATGCCAGATAAGCACCAAAGGGAGAAATCATTACTCAGGGTAATCAAATAACCTATAATATGTATTCTCTACTTCCTTTTGGCACCACTCAAATGTATCCAATTTTAGAAATAGGTGAGGAAAGAGTAATCCTTTTGGAATAATGTGACAACACCAGCATTATATTTGGAAAGAGCTTAAAGTTTCTAGAGATATTACAACACCTAAAAGGAAATTTAGCAAGGGTTTGTGCTATTTTGTAATTATGTAGATGGTAATGAAGAGTCATTCATTTTCATATTGATATAAAATGCTGCTCAAAGAATGTTTGACAATTAACCTTTCTGAGCCAGGCAGAATTAACTTAACATTGGCTTGAACTTCTTTTTGCCACAGGCCACTGGGTGTCTGAATCATGGGATGCGGTGATGGCATCCAACATTCTACAGCATTTAATTTCAACTTTTGGTTTTTATCTTTACTCGTTATTCTACATACTAATGCATCGTTTCTATTGATATTCATTTGTAATCCCACGCAACCATTTCAAGCTGCTAAGAATTTAATTTGATTGAAACAGTCAGTAGTCATTAGCCACATGGCTTCCTTCACCTGAGCTAGGAAGTATGTAGTCATCCATTGTGAAATGATTTCCCAACGGCTGCTAGCGAAATTCCTGATCAAAGTCTTTCTCTTGTTCAGTACCATCATATATGTGATAATTCCTGAACTCAAAGTTCAGCCCCTGAAAATTTCCTACTTTTTTGATATTTTGTTCTGAAAATTAAAAGCAATAATCATGCTGATACTGAAAGTTAACATTAATGTAGTGGGAAAATATTTTAGCAGGATAATAACAATGATTACCTTTGTTGATTTAAGTTAATAATTAACATAATTAAGGAATCTCTTAGAAACTTCTCTAAAGAGTTTTTACTTGGCTAGCATCACTTGAAATAGCAGGTTAAACTGGGTTTGTTGGTAAACCACCGAGGACCTGTTTTTAGAGAAGGAGAAATGTATGTTTTGCCTTTAAATTATAGGTCTGAGGACATTTTAGTGAAGATTTCGTATTAACTGAGTTTTGGTTACATTTCTAAAATTGGTCTTTAAAACTAAAATTAAAGAGCAAAAACAAAAACCACTACTGACTTCGAAGTCAACAAGTACGTCCCAGTCTTTGCCAATGGCTCTCCAGCTGATTCTTAGGAATCCCTGTGACTGAATCAGTGTTTTCATTCTTGAGATGGAGCTGACAGTTGAAGGGCCGCTTTTCTAATAAGAATAGCTTCGTGGAAAGGCCTGTCTCTGGTCATTCTCATCCCCTTCTCTCCCAGGTCACAAAGAGGGCAACGAGTCAAATACTGGCCAGGACTGGGGATGGGCCCATGCAAGTGTGGACAGATTTGCTGTGCTGTATGACATGTGGACTTGGGAAGCAGCCCTTCTAGAAAACAAGCGCCAGGTATTTTTCCCTAGAAAACAAAACATCTGCTAAACATTCTTACAAAACCCAGTATCGAAAAAACAAAAATGAAAAAACTCAGTGGGTCTTTTAGGGGTGTATTAGGCTCCTAATAAAGTAAATAATTATTTTATTTAAATTGTCTCAGCTAGTTGTAAGGATGTGAATAATACATTTTATTTTCTTTACTGTGGTTCCTTTTAATAAAAAATAAAATGGGAAGGATACCTCTTTATCTTACAGGCATAATTTGTTAGAGGGCTGTATAATTTCGGTTTTTATGTATGTGTTTAGTGAGAGTGGGTGATGGTTCCATTCACATTCATTGTCCTGTCAGGGACAAACCTCACTCTGTGGAACACAAACTGACCTTATTAGAGTCTTTAGAAATACATCACACGTGGGGCAAGCAGTTGGGCAAGGTGTGTGCTCAGTGCAGCAAGTTCTGAGGGTAAGTTTAAAGCAATGAAACAGAAGTTTGCTAAATTCATCATCATATCATCAATGGCTTATATCCTAGCAATAAATGAAACACTGCTCTTCACTTGTGTCCTCGGCATGGATTATGAGCCCCTCTGATGATCACCAAATGTTAGTAGTTTATTCATCAAACATTAAGTATTTACTCTGCACCAGGTACTATTACAGACATTAGGAACCTATGGATAAATAGAAGATAATCTGTCTTCAAGGAATTTCTAGTCTATAGACGTTGATCCAATCTCTTAGGTAAAAATTACAACCCAGTAACTAACAGCTTACAGCTGAGGCACATGCAAGATCCCCGGAGACCGCAGTGGAGGGAGGGATTTGCCCTGTGGGGGGCCATCGGCGTAAAGGCAATGTTGGCAAATCTCCTCAGAGGAGTAGATATTTAATCCTGTTCCTAAGAGATGAGGAAGATGTTGTCGGTCAGAGAAGGAAAAAGTTCTTAAGTGGAGGAAACCGCATGAGCGATGTCAGGGAGGTATAAAATGGGGATGGTGAGTTTGGGGAAGAAGAAGGCTAGTATGACTAGGCGCTAAAGGCGTGAGGAGAAACGAGCTGACTATGTGTTTGAGTGCAGCTGTGAAAGACCTTGCTACATGCTACATTTACAGTATATTTTATAAGCAAAGAAGAGCCACTGGTGAGTTTCAGGAAGGGAGAAATACCATCATGGCTCTGTTTTCAACAGCTGCTCGGGTATTAGTGTGGAGAATGGATTGGATAGGGCTCCTGCAGAGAACAAGTGCCCTTATTGCAACAGTGACCTGGAGAGGTAGGAGGGGACCTACACCAAGGACGAAAGAGTGAGAACAGGAGGGAGGGGCAGACTGGAGAAGTCTTTGCAGAGTGGACATGGCAGGATTTGAAGACTGGATGGTGGGGTGAGAGAGTAAGGAATTAAAAATGACTTTCTCAGGGTCAGGGAGGAGGCTACTAACTGAAATGGAATGCAGGAGGAGGGGCACCTTAGAGGGAAAGATAGTGCTGAGTCTGTGGCAACAGGCATGTGAGGAGAGCTTGCTAAAACAGGTGTGAATGTTTTGTGGGAGCTGGAGGTTTGAAGGTCAGGAGCAGGTATGAGCTGAGGTATGAGAGTGAACATTGAACCACAGTAATGAATCAAATGACTAGGAAAAGCCAGAGATGTCTGAGATGCAGCCCTGGGTAACACTTAAATTGTAGGGGAAGGTCATAGAACAAGAATCCACGAGAGGAGTAAGAGGAAGCCAAAGAAACTGGGGAAAAAAGGAAAGAATAGTGTGATGAAAGCCACTAGGGGGGGAAAAACATTTTAATTAGGAGAGGATAGTTACTAGTGTGGAGTGCAGCGAAACATCAAGAAAGATGACGCCTAAACACCAGGCAGTGGCGTCAGTCACCAGGGTCATTGCCAGCTTTGTAGGACTCTCAGAAGAGGTATGGGGGTGGAAGCCAGCTTACAGTGCACTATGATGTGGTCAGAAGATGGGGAAGTGGAAATGTTTTCTTTGAACTGTTTTTCTAGTAGATTAGATGGTTTACCATTTCATCGACTTTCTGGTCTGTCACTCATAGAGATGTAGGTCACCCAATTTTTGAAAACACCTGGCTGGGCTTAAAGGGTGGGAGCCTTGGGCTTTGAATACTGTTCCTCTTTTCAAGGGGAACTGGCCTTTACAGAGTTTGCATCTGCAACCTTGATCTGCCAATTAGAAACTTACTTTGATCAACTAAATGAGAGATCTAGACTCTGAGTATAATAGTTGAAAAGGCTACATTAAAGGTAAATAAGACAGAATCCCTAAACTCAACAAGTTTATTGGTCCAGACATGAGTTTTAAACCGCCCCCCTTTTCTGGACTCTCTCTCCCCGCCTTCCCTTTCAGGGCTCCTAGGCCTCCTGTGGAGGCCCCGGACAGGACTCAATGGCAATAGAAGACTAGAAGGGCGAAGAGGACTGAAAAACAAATCGATTTCTCTACCCTTTGGCCCACGCTTCATTCTGTGCTAAGCTACCAGGGCTGTCCACTAGTTTCTTCTACAGCAAATGAAATTATTTTAACTTAAAAAGAAAAAAATCAGTGGGGCGCCTGGGTGGCTCAGTCGTTAAGCGTCTGCCTTCGGCTCGGGTCATGACCCCAGGGTCCTGGGATCGAGCCCCACATCGGGCTCCCTGCTCAGCAGGAAGCCTGCTTCTCCCTCTCCCACTCCCGCTGCTTGTGTTCCTGCTCTCGCTATCTCTCTCTGTGAAATAAATAAATAAAATCTTTAAAAAAAATGACAAATAAAATTAAAAAGTTAAAAAGATAAATTGGCGGGCGCCTGGGTGGCTCAGTCGGTTGAGTGGCTGCCTTCGGCTCGGGTCATGATCCCAGGGTCCTGGGATCGAGCCCCGCATCGGGCTCCCTGCTCCGCGGGAAGCCTGCTTCTCCCTCTCCCACTCCCCCTGCTTGTGTTCCCGCTCTCACTGTGTCTCTCTCTGTCAAATAAATAAATAAAATCTTAAAAAAAAAAAAAATCATTGAAAATGTCTCCCTCCTTTCTCACCCTGACAATAAGTTCTCTATAGAAACTGAGCTATCTATGCCAAAACTGTAAAATGTGGCCTTCTAAATCAGAAATTCTGTCAAAAGAGCCTATTTTTAATGGATAAACCATATTTTTATCTAGAGTACAATTGATTTCTCCCAGTACTGATTCTACTGCCAAGTTTGCTCAGCTGTTTTTGATTGTTAAATATATTGGAATCACTAGAGTTAAGAATTGCTCAAACACACTGGGTTGTCTTAAATCCTTAAAGTAACCATATTATGTACAAATGTTCATAAAACTAGAGCTGATGTGAATTTAGGTGGATTAAGGAACTCTTAGAGAAGCCAGGCATCAGCTGTACAGGCCGCTAAGTGACACGTGCCCCAAATGCTAATTCTGTCTACAGCCACCAGAGGACACATTTTCGGGGTAGTTTGAATTAGTGTTTGGAGCACTAAAAAAAAAAAAAAAAATCTATGACAAATTGTGCCTAGCATTGATTTTGTTTTGCACTTTCATTTGACCTAAAATGCTATTTTTTTAAGTTTCCTCAGTTTCAGAAATATAAAAAGTTTGAGGTAAAAATAATACAAACACAGTCAGGTTTGAGATTATTCATTTTAGCTTTTTTTTTCTATTTTCTCCAATATTTGAGACCTCCCGTCAGTGGGTACCACGTATTATTTTGCCTGAGAGTTGGCCCTTGACACACACAGGTGACATTTGACAGGCTAGGGAGATTTCTTAGACAAATACCAGCCCAGAGTTTAAATGGAAATGGGCCGGTTAGCAAACAGATTGTAAATAGAACCTGTAAGGCAGAAAGATCATGGTCTTACCTCTGTTGGGAAAGAATTAATAATAAAATTATGCAAGGGCCCATCTGAGAGCATCTCGAGGTTGAGGCCAATGCTTGAGAAAGACTTCTCAATGTAAAAAGAGAGCCACTTTTTACCTTTTCAAAAGCTAGGGCTGCCAAGTAAAATATGACAATACCTGGGACATAATTATACTAAAAAAGTTGTTTGTTGTTTATCAGAAATTCAAATGTAACTAGATGACCTGTATGTTTTTTGTTAAATTGGGCAATCCTATGAACAACACAAGTGAGCTTGGCATTTTAGTGCCAACCTCTGCAACCTGGTATCAGCAGATTGAAATCACTGGCAAGAACCCTCCCCCATGAACTTCTGCCAAATAGCCAAACAATAGGACTCTTTGTACAAAAAAACAGGTCAAGGCATACAAATACTATACACCGGCTCTTGGGATTGCCTTGGCCCAGTCAAAAATGTTCAAGTTAGTCCAGAATGATGTAGGGAGGTGATTGTTACTTTCCTAAACAACCCCCCCCACACACACTATTGAGTGACACCTGTCTTACCCATCACCCTTCATTTCTGCTTTGTCTTCTACTATTTAATAATTGAATGCTATTCTAGAGTAGAGCTCAGCGGAGGGAACAGGTAATTTAGACCACCCTGCCTGCTTCATTTTCCCTGGGACTCACTTAAAGGCCTGGCAATCTCCACCTTCCTTCATTTCACATTCTGAGATATGTGAGTTTCTAACCTGCGGAGCGAGTTGTATGTTCTGAGCTTTTAGCCTTATTTAGTGTTTTCCTTTTTGTGCTAAGGTTGACTTAAGGTCCCTTAGACCAATGTTTCCCAAAAGGTATCCTGCAAAACCCGATGCTAAATAAAGTGCCCCAGTCTCCTTGTGCTTTAGCATTGAAGGCCAGATACTGGACATCTGTTAATAAGGCGGCATTTGATTCCTGGTCTGCTATTGATTCTTGAGTGTTTACCTCTTTTGGGGGCCTTGGAAGCCATGAATGGCAAGATTGGAGACACTCCTGGCTTTTCCTCCCACATGGGTCCTTTATTCCCCTTTGCCTCCTGCACTGTTGCCATGTGTATTCAAGTGGTGCTTGCACCTTCTCAGTTCTTTCTGGTTTTCCATTCTTAGCTCTGGACTCCACACAAAGAGAGGGGCTTTTTATCTCCTTTTAGGAAATTTCTTAGTTTGTTAAGACGAGGGCTGACTTCCTGGCCTCAAGCCACTGGAAAGACCAACACCCAAGGAAACAAGACACACTCTTTCTCTGATGCAAGTCAAAGTGTGCTAGACTGTCAGGTTGGTAGAAATTGCAACCTTAACAATTCACTCCTTGCTGCCAATTAAATGCACACACTGGGCAAGCCTATGTGACTTTGGTGATAAGGTTACAATGGGAGCTGACACCTTCCAGAAGAGTGAAGCCTCCATAAGAGGAGCTAGTGAAAGAAGACTGGGGATGGACCTCTTGAGCTAAACCCTGGAGGGAGGATGTGTTGGATTAGATCAGCAGAGGAAAGGAATTTGTTCTGCTGTGAAATGAATGGAATAAAGCCTCAGTAGCTTCCAGTTGGAGCCGATTTATCTGTCAGGCAATGTGGACTCAGTGTTTAGGATCTAAGAGCTTTGCAGGTACCACTGAAAATGTTTGCAATTTGAGGAAAAACACATGCATTACTCTGAAATATGAAAAGAAAATACAAAATTGTTATCAATAAATACTTAATTACATGTCAGTAAAATGTAAAAACATTGTAACTGAGCACTTATAAACATCTCATTGCATTTGAAAATTTATAGCTCAGATCTTCTCACTTCATAAGAACCTCTGAGTATATACTGCCCAGAAATTAGAACCAATCACTAATTCAATGTGTCGCTCGTAGCCAAATAACTTGAAAAGCAAAATTATGAATATCATTTAACATTTTTACAGGAAAGAATTTGATTGGGATGTGAGCATGTCTTAATGTATTTGATATAATGTGGGACAGGCCTGAACAGTAGTTACACTGTTCAGAACTGCTTGTCTTGCCCTTAGGTCCCTGTTTGGGATTCCAGCCCAGTGATCTCTGAAGAGCATTTTTCTGATTAGCACCATGACTAATTACACACAAACAGAATTTATACATAGAACATAAATTCTTAAGGTCACAAACAAATGTAAAAGCAAAATAAAGAGTATCTCTCTCTCTGAATTCCCACACTGAGAACCCTCTTCAATGGTTACTGGGTTAGTGTCTGGGAGCTTTCTTTGGTTTTTAGAAAAGGTTTGTGATCTCCACTAGAAGAGAAACTCCCTCGATGCCTTTGAGAGTTCGGTACATGAAGCCCTTCCTAATAGAGTCCTGTCTGGGATAAATGCCTTTGTAGTTAGGGGACTTTCACCTCAGCCTTCCATTCTACCACTCCCTATCATTTCTAGGTGAAATTTGGGCAGACTATTAAAGAAAAGGGGTCAGAAATGGAGCTGAGGATAAGAAGAGGGGAGGAGGGTCGCCTGGGTGGCTCAGTCGGTTAAGTGTCTGCCTTTGGTTCAGGTCATGATCCTGGGGTCCTGGGATCTAGTCCCGCACCCACTGAGCAGGGAGCCCGCTTATCCCTCTCCTTCTGCCTCTCCCCTGCCCCCAGCTTGTGTGCTCTCTCTCTCGCTCACTCACTCTCTCTCAAATAAATAAAAATATATATTTTTTAAGATTTTATTTATTTGACAGAGAGAGATACAGCGAGAGAGGGAACACAAGCAAGGAGTGGGAGAGGGAGAAGCAGGCTTCCCTCGGAGCAGGGAGCCCAACATGGGGCTCGATCCCAGGACCCTGGGATCATGATCTGAGCCGAAGGCAGACACTTAATGACTGAGCCACCCAGGTGCCCCAATAAAAATACCTTTTTAAAAAGAGGGAAGGAAGCCACCTGCCTACCCTTTCTCTTGCTCACTCTCTCTCCCAAATAAATAAAAATATTAAAAAAAAAAAGAGGGTAAGTAGCCACCTGCCTACGTTTGGTGATGGAGTAAAATGGGAGTGGGAGAATGAGTCTTTGGAGAACGGTGTTGCAGATAAATATATTTGATGAAGTGGCATTGCATGCACTGTCTCATTGGAGCTTATAACTATTAGATGTTATATTATTCATTATATAACCCCCCTTTTATTTGTGGAGAGCAGAGGAAGAGGGGACACAGGCAAAACTAGTGTTCCTTCCTTTGCCCTCCCTACCTCTGTGGGTTTACTAATGACCCTTGGGTTGCCCCGTGCTGTAGCTGCCCACACCAGGCTGGTATCCGGAGGGTCTGAGCCATCTCTCTCCTGCTGATGCTCCAAGGCTTTCCAAAGCATGGGGGATGAGAGGCTCACCTCTCTTTGCTGGAGCCTAGGGCTGCCTCTGCTGTTCCCTGACTATAAACCTTATCTGCAGCTTCTTGACTGTTACTTTGAAGCCTACCAGCACGTTCTGGACCCTGAGGAGAGGTTTGCCTTAGCACAAGTGATCACTGACATCATGCACAGGCGCCCAAGGTTTGATTTCAGCCACCCTTACTTCATTAAGGCCTACCGAGATGCATGCACCTGCCTCAGGCTTCACTTGCAGCTCGTGAGGGGCATCCTCAATCAGCACGTAAGTACATTTGGATTTTAAAATATTACATGCGAGAAGACGATAGAAAACCCAGGCCAGAACTGAAAAGTGTTTTCCTTTCGTTGCACACTCAGAATCCAGGTTTTCTAGGGCAGCATGTACAGCATATTTATTTGTAAGCTCATTTGCATCGTTGAATTCCAAGCATAACTATGGTCTTTAAAGGAAGTTTCCAACCCTAATTACATTTAATGGTCCACAAAAAATAGAAAACTTATTTTCACTAGATGATCGAGTTTATTGGTATTGAAAGGAGGATGAAACATACCCCTTTACAAGCCATTAATGTAAAAAGTTATGTTTATTATTTTTTTGTGGCTATTTTTAGGACACTAAAGGAAAAAATTAAGTGTATGTCCTCTGGGGGAAAAGCCAGGGGCAGGAAGTAAGCAGGAGATAGACTGTTGCAGTGCATTTACCTTAGACCTGGTTAGAAGTTTTTCCTTGTAGTCCATTATTTGACAGAAAGAAGTTTTCCTGTGCCTCTTAAGGTTGTCTGAATTTGGTCGCCTTTGCTTTTATTGGCTGACCCTTGGCTCAGACTGAGAGACCAGTGTGTCTTCGTGTAAGTGGATCCTCAAAACCGTGTCTGGGTGAAAATTAGTCAAATAATGAAGGGATGCAAAGGACTGCTGTTCTTCTCATACTAGGGCTCATAATTCACATCCATGGGCAAGTTTAACTTTTCTAATTTTAACTTTTATGCTACATTTTTAGATAGAGTGTCAGCGGGAGTATGTCCAGAGGCTTTGGCAGGAAGGCCGTCCGGATGATAGCAGTAACTTTGGACTTCCCCTTAACATAATTTGCAAACAACTTGTTTCCATCAACAATAGCTGGTATGGTGGCATTGTCTTCAGACATTTTACATTTAATCTTTTAGATAAGTTAAGGGTATGGTGTTAAGTTTAAATACTCTTCTATAAAGTACCTCTCAAGTATTTGGGAAGGTGAGTGAAGTAGATATAAAAGCCCCAGAAGAGGGATTTTCTTGCATACTCAATATCCATTTGCTTTGTAAGTAAAAAAGAATAGGAGGCTAGAATTAAAGTTATACCACCAGGTGTACAATCTGTATTCTCTTGAGAAGTTCTATAAAAAAAAAAAAAGCATTTACTCTTAAAATGCCATCAGAGGGTTTAATCAGAGGTGCCACATAAGCCAATGTATATGACACTTGGATGGGCTTAAAAGTTTCTTAAGAAGGAATCTATATATTCTAGTAAGTGTCACTTTTAAAAAGGTTTCTGCAGACTCACCTTGTGACCCCTACCCCTTTAAGGAGCAAATTAAATTTCCTGAGATCACTCAGAGAAGGTACATACTTTAAGTCACCCCTTTGACATGTAGTTTGAACCCCCATTCCTTCCCAGCCTTTAAGGGTAGTGAGGGAATCGGCAAGTGGGTGACAAGCCCCGGGCTTGTCTTCAAATGGGTAGAGAAATTGTCCAGCTCGTTTCAACATGTAACAAGTACCTGTTGAGCACCTACAGGTCCCAGGCACTGTGCTAGGAGGTGAGGACACAGTTGTGAACAACAGAGGCATGGCCCTGCACTCCCGTCAAGTGCACACTTTCAGTAGGACATTGCCACACTGGCGATGAAATCCTCTTGGGTACCAGCAGGATGCCGTGGGATTTCCTAGCTTACATTCTAACCTTATCCCTTGAGAAAGAGCTCTGGGAGTTCAGGCACAAGACAGCATGTTCTCCACAGACCTTTTTCAGGACTGATTTCTTCACTGTAATAAGCTTGAGACATCAGCTGTATGTGTGTGTGTGGCTGGCTATGTATGGCAAGACTCTATTGTTCAGGAAATGGTTTTTTGAAAGAACATGCTAGGATTATATGGACACCAAGACCTGTCAGAATAGTCTCAAAAGCAAATGTTATTTGCTTGATGAGATTCCTTTCTAACCTTAGAGTTGTATTTTTTAAGATTTAGAACAAAGAAGAATCCCCATTTGCCTAGGTTTAAGAAGTATTTATGCTCTTTAGTTCGATGTAGGTAGAAAAAGTCCCTTGACTTGTGCTGTATCCTCTCTTTTCAAAGGAATACCGACAGACTAGCATTTTCTCATTTCTGGTCTCATCGATTTATAAAATAGAACATTCTTATAGCAACATGAATGATTCTAGCAGTTGTGTACAGAGTTTAAAATTTGTCTCTGTTTATTACTATTTTTGGGGAAAAGGATAAAGACTCAGGGAAAAAATAGAAACCAGTCATGGAAATTATTTGTTTAATATTTTTATTTTTAGTTATATTTTCAATTTTAAGTTATTTTGTTTTCAAATATTTGACTAAATGCCGATTATTGGAATGCTTACAGGTTTGCCATATACAGTTTAAGAATCAGATTGGACTTTTAGGAATAAACTCTTACAGCTTCCAATTTTAAAGGGGTTCATGTTAAAGCAAAGAGCATGTTATATAATCTGGTGGAGTCTGGATGGCCTCTTTGGCCCCTTTGAACTCCCAGTTTTTTATAATGCCTTGGATTATAGCAGCTGTTTTATTGGTCTTAAAAAATGAAAAATTCAAATATCTTTTGAAATAGATTAAGTTCTTCATTGTGTAAAATTGTCATTGATTAATCCTCTTTTTAAGCCCAGCCTTGGAAAACATTTGTCTGCTGGAGTTCCACCCTTCCCTGGGTCTCGCATCACTCATCCCCCAATCCCTTGAGTACGTCCTCCGGGAGGCCCGCCACACCTGCAGACCCACATCCGTCAGCAGCCTCACCTTGCTGGACAGACGTGTGCTGCACCTGGCTCTGGATATGTGGCTCACACCAGCCAGGCCCCAGTCCTGGTACAGCACTCAGCTCCAGAGAGATGTAGGTTCTCTGAAGAGGGTCGGGGAGGGGGCGTTCCTTGGCGAAGAGAACGTTTCCACCCAGATGTTACTACTTAGCTTTGTTTTTCTGTTTGGCTCTGTTCCTCCCCTGTTTGGCCAGAGACAGATCATAGTCTAGGCCTTGCCAACATTTTTATGTAATTCTTTTTTCACTTTTGGTTAAAGTTTCCTCTTTATCAGGATATTGCTACACTTAGAAGGGAGATGTACATATGTGGGAATTTTTTTTTGGCTTATTTTACATATAAATATATATATATATATATAATATATATTTTAACAATATACATTTTTAATTAAAAGTTATATATTTTATTTCCACTGAGACTCTTCCTGAAATTCCCTCTTTTTGTCCTGAGCTGAGATCTGGTAGAGGAGAGAGAGGGCTAAGTGAGGAGTCAGGGACCTGGACTCAAGTTCAGCCCTGCCATTAATTTCCTGTGTGACTCTAACAAGTCTCTTAGCCTCTCTGAGCTTCCCTTTCCTATTTTCTAACATTATGTTTGTGTATTTGAGGGGAGGGGGGTGGAAGTGAGCTTGATGGTCCCTATCTTGTGAAGATAGAAATGAGGTAATATATGTGAAAACACTTTGAAAATTTGAAACTGCAGTTAGAAGAGTTTATAGGAAATTATTATTATTATTGGCCTCTAAAATACTTGGAAAATATCAGGGACTTCTACTTCTATTCTTTATTTTGGCTTAAAATATTTATAATAATGATAACAGCAAATACTATGTACCAGGCACTTTTGTGTGTATTAACTCACTTAACTCTCTCAACAATCCTATTAGGTAATTTTTATCCACTTGTTCCTCTCAGCTACTGTGACTATTCTTATCTCCCCTTTACAGCTGAGGAAACTGAGAGATAGCAAAATTTCACAGTTTATAAGCGGCAGAGCTAGGACCTGAACCCAGGAAATCTGGATCCAGAGGCTGTGCCACGGAGAGTGTTTTTCTTAATATGTGAACTTTCTTTTTTTTAGATTTTAAAAAGTGTTTTGTTTTCTTTCAGCTGTTTTCAGCTAAAGTAATGGGAGATCCCTTTCTCCTGGAAGAGATTGGTCTGCTCGCACTCAAGTCTGCAGCAGACAAAGGACAGAACCAAAGCCAAGAAGATTCTCCTGTGCTGCTCCTGGAGACATTTTCTAAACTTCTAGAACTTGTGACCCTCCGCCACCCGCTGATAGAAATGAGTCTGGAGAGTGTACACTTAGCTCGGTCAGTAGGGGGACTGAGAATCCAGATGGGGGAGAACAGACCACAGGTTTCCCTGTCTACAGGTCTTATTCCCTCTGTGCCCCAGGGCTGCCAGAGTGAGCTTTCTAACTGGCTGAAATGACCACCTTGTTCCCTTGTTCCTTCTCCACACAAGCCTCCCTACATGCCTCTCTGACCACTCAGCGAGGCTAGGCGCTCCTCTTGGCACCGGGGCTTCCTCTCCATTCAGTACATTACCTTTCAGTTAAATGCTTAATACTGGTTTATCAGTTTTCCTGCTGGTGTCAGCTCCCTGATTGCAAAAACACTGTCCATGTTGTTTCCCATGGTGTCCCATCACCTGGTATGAGGCCTGACCTACACGGTCACTCTGAATATTTACTGGATTTGCTCTTAACTATGATGAAGTTGAATAGCAGAGCAGAGGCACTAGAAGACTAGAGAGAGGAGAGGGAGGAGTCAGTGACAGTCAGCCTCAGGCCTGACAGAGGTTTGGAAGGCTCAACAGGTAGGGAGAGACAGAGAGATTGAACAGTTAGGTTTTAGGTATGAGTGTGAGGTGATGGGAAGACATCCAAGTGGACATGTTCTAGAAGCAGGAAAGATGTGGAATTAAAGGGTCAGTTGCAAACATGTATGAGTTCTGAGTTCTGTTATGTTCTAGTCCTCATGAGAGGCCCTATAGACCTAAAGGGCCCAATCATCTACCACCAACCATTACCGAGAGCCTGCTATAGCCAGGGTCTGTCCTGGGGACTTGATGTGTAGTCATTCATTTAATTTCCAGAATATCCTTAAGAGGATCCTTACTAATATTTTACCAGCAAAGAAGTAGAGGCTCAGAAGGTTAAGTAATTTGCCTAAAATCACATAACTAGAAAGTAGTAGAAGCAGAATTCAAACTGAGTTAAGATATTTATTAACTTCTGTGATACTACCTCCCCATAATTTTTGATCCTTGTTCTCAGGGAGCTCATTAAAAGTTAGTTCTACTACAGTTTAATATGATATTTTAGTCATACAACCAAAATACTATGGGAACTCAGAAAATGGAGCATTTCATTCTCTGTAAGTGGATCAGGGAAGCTTCATAAAAGAGGCACTGTTGAGGGATGACCTGTGTCCCCTGGCAGCTTTATATGTTCAAGTCCTAATCCCCAGTGCCTCAGAATGTGACCCCATTTGAAGGTAGGGTCTTTACAGAAGAATGAAATGATTAGGGTGGGCCCTCATCCAATATGACTGGTGTTCTTATAAGAGGAGGAAATTTGGACACAGATACACCAGAAGAAAGATGATGGGAAGACACAGGCAGAAGACGGCCATCTATAAGCCCAGGAGAGAGGCCTGGAACAGATCCTTCCCTCATGGTCCTCAGAAGGAACCAACCCTACCAACACCCTGATCCCAGACTTCTAGGCTCCAGAACTGTGAGACAAATTTCTGTTTATGGTACTTTGTTACAGGAGCCTAGCAAACTAATAGAGGTGCCATTTGAATTCAGCCTTAATGTACCAACTTCTCAAAATAGAGAAATGTGTTAGAGAATGTGGGTGTGGGGCCGGGGAAGACATTCTAGACTTTTAAGGCTGAAATGCCAGAGGGGCATCTGAACGGAGCCTTGTTACAAGCCATGTTAATGTGGGAGCAGAGCTCAGATTTGGGACAAGACAGAGGTAGGGCCACAGGTTCTTACAATAGGGGGTGATCATTAGGGCTTGGGGTTGGAAGATAAACACCCCAAGGAGGGGACAGAGAAGATAAGAAGAGGACCAGGTTTGGAACCCCAGGAAATACTAGGATTTGAAAAATAAAGAGGAAGAGGAGCCAATGAAGACTGAGAGAGAGTGGTCATGAGGCAGGAACATGGAGATCCTGGATCCAAGAGAACAAAGATGTTCCTCAAAGAGAGGACAAGGCCAGCTGCAAAGAGCTCTAAGAGAAAATAGCCTTGTATTGAAAGCAGTATTGGTGACCCCATGAGCACTCTGAGGACAAAAGCCAACTTGCAGGAAATGAGAGTGGGGAAGTGCCCAAGCACATCTCCGACTTTAACTTCTATATTTAACTGTCTGTCATAGTGTAGAGTGGATGCAAGATCTTTGTAACTCATTTGCTCTATACTGGACTTGGCTTACTCTTGTTTTGACTTTTGCTTTTGTGCTTATTCAGATTTTTTGGGTTTTCTTACCACTTACTTTTCTTTTAGTGGAAAATAATAGTAAATGCTCTTGGTTCTTTATCCACCCCCCCCTTCTAGTCTCTATAAGGAATTGGCATGGGAGATGGGTTTTGAAGAGTTCCATTTGTATCTGAGACCTGTTCACTTTGAATTTGCACCACTCAAAGAAAAAGTGGACCATCCACCTCCTGTCTTTATTACCTCTCTGCTGAAGGACAGTGATCAAGTGGACAGGTGAGCCTTGAAAAGTTCAAAGTAAAAATAATGTAGTGGTAGAACGAACAGCGAGTGAAAAATAATTTCTATCACCACTGGACACACAAATACAATTTTATATCTAAATTCCCTCTCTTATATTCTAACTGCCATGATGCCATTTCTTTTTTTCTTTCTTTCTTTTTTTCTTTACTAAGAGGGGGGCAGAGATCTCTTTAAATTTTTTATTGTTATGTTAATCACCATACGTTACATCATTAGTTTTGGATGCAGTGTTCCATGATTCATTGTTTTTGCATAACACCCAGTGCTCCACGCAGAACGTGCCCTCTTTAATACCCATCACCAGGCTAACCCATCCCCCCTCCCCCCTCCCCTCTAGAACCCTCAGTTTGTTTTTCAGAGTCCATCAGAGCAGGGGGAGAAATCTCAATGAAGGGTGATAATTGAATTTAAAAACACTGATTAATGGAACAATTGGATCAGAGAGCTCAAGTGAGATAGGATCACAGGTGCAGCCACTGCCCAGGTTGACCGTGTTGTTTCTGGGTAGAAAGATGTATGAGGGTTTGTCTCATGGGGCAAGAACCATGGATCAGAAGTCCAGATCACTTCTCCCACTTCCCCTGAGACCAGGAAGAAGTCAGTCAAATTTTTTGAGCAGCTGTTTCCTTGAAACTCTAATATAATGTACAAATCTAACGTGTATGACAGTATCTCAGTCAGGCTCTTTTGTTGCCCTGCAGCAGAAGCGGAGTCAAAGCAGTGAAATTTCTTCATGCCCCATAGGTTCAGCCCATTGCTGGAAAGAAAACACTCTTACTAGTAACAGATCATGAGTCTGCTTAGTCGGGGAAAGGAATCTTTTTCCTTTGTGCAGAGTCAGCCTTTGATGTGTGCTGAGGAGAAACTTCTGTCTCCCTCTTCTTTCCTTCTCTTCTAGTCTGCCCTTCCCCTGAGGGTCAGAGCTCTGTCCCTGGAGATTCTTGGTACTGGCCCCAGCCCAAGGAAAGCAAAGATGACTCCAAGGAGGAAAAATCCCCTTTGTTTTGCTAGTGTGGATCAGTGCTCAAAATGTAACTCTGATGTGTTAAAATGTTAAAGGACTCCTCTCTTCTCCAAAGAGACCATGGGCTAAAATGGAGAAGGTTAGGATGATAGAATATGGTATCCCAGAATTTCTCAACCTTGGCATTATTGAAATTTGGGGCTGGATAACCCTTTCTTCTAGGGGGCTGTCCTGTGCAGCAGAGGTTGTTTATCAGCATCCCCGACCACTACCTCCCAGATGCCAGTAATAGGCCTTCTCCTCCCCGATTATAACAATCACAGATGTCTCCAGACATTGCCAAATGTCCCCCGGAGGCAAAATATTTCCTGCTCTGTCCTGTCACACTAACTAAACCAAAAAGAGAATTTAGCATAAGGATATAGAGATGTCTCACAGAAACTGAAGGCAGGAAATATGATTGGGCCTCAGATGAGGCTAGTTAGGTCTCCAACCTGGAGCCAAGCTATGCTCTGGCTCTTCAAGGCCTCCTGCTGGAGCTGGCATTCTGCACTGATGTAAAATAGGGCATATTTTTGTTCAACTGGAATCAACCAATCAGCACAAAGTGCCCAAATGATCTGTGACCTGGTCAAGCTGTGATTGATTCTCCCAACAATGATCCAACAATCCTGTAAGATCTGGGGAGCCTTCTGAATTACCAGGGGAAGGTTTGTGCATCCAAGGATCTTGTCTCTTGAGTTTGCATTTATTTTACGTATGTTAATTCCTTAAAATTGCCACTTTGGAGTGCTGTTATAACGACAACATATATCAAACCTGAGCATAGTGGCTTACATTTTAAAAAGCACATTCATGCATATTATCCCATTTAATATTTGCCTTAACCCTATGACATAGGTGATATCTCCCATTTACAGATGAAGAAACCAAGATCCATAGATATTAAATTACTTGACAGAGTCTCCTAAGTATGGACAAAGGACTATATCCCAAGGCATAAACATGGTTGCAAAGAACATTTAAATAATTATTGGGGCAATGGAAGAGAGAAAGAACTGGACAGCTTTTAGGGAGTGGTTAAAAGGGTTTGAGTCAGTGAAGAGCCTGAGGACACGAGGTCAAAGGTACAAAGAGAAACAGGTTAAAACAGTGGAATGGTGATCAAGAGAAAAGAATTTGGAGTCAGTGGTCACCACAAGGAAACTGCAAGGAGATCAAGTCCAATAAGGATTGAAAAGACCCCAGAGCCCTTCAGTCTTTGGGCAGAAATATCAAGTCTTGTGTAACATCTGCACTTGGTATTATTGCTGATGTCTCAGAGCTGATCACATATGGTTTGGTCCCATGAGAATGGGCATCTCTTGACTAACGGCATGGTACAATAGAACAATGTCATGTTTCTTCTTGCAGATGTTCTCCTACTACTCTTGTCTTAGCCATCTCTGAGGTGGATGATAACCAGGTTGGCAAGTTTAGCTTTTATACAAAAGAAGCCATCCTTAAGGTAAGTTATTTTTTTTAAAAAAACTAAAGTAAAATTAAGCAATTTGCTCATGTATTTCTTTACAAATCATCATATTTAATTCATACATTTGGCTCCCATGTAGAAAAAAAGCTTCCAACTTCATAAATAATGATGATAGGCTTGTCTTATTTGTTGTGCATATTGGTCTGGTTTGAAACATAGAGACTGCAACACCCTTGCAATAACTTCTGTTAGGTTTTAAAAGGAAGCACTTGTAGTGAATCATCTTTGTACCAAGTTTTTAAAACATGCACCTATTATTGGAGCTTTTATCTGATCTTCTTAAACTTGGTACTGTTATTTTCCCTTTCCACTCAGATGAATCTCTTTGCTTCTGTGTGTGTATGTATAGGTTTGTATTTGTGTATTTTTTATTTTTTAATTAATTAATTTTTTTGAAGATTTTATTTACTTGAGAGAGAGTCAGAGAAAACATGAGCAGGGGGAGGGACAGAGGGAGGGGGACAAGCAGACTCCCTGCTGAGTGTGGAGCCCACTTCAGGACTCAATCCCAGGACCCTGAGATCATGACCTGAGCCGAAGTCCGGCGCTTAACTGACTGAGTCACCAAGGCACCCCTGTGTGTTTATTTTTTTAAACATTAATCTAATCTTGGCAGTTTTAAAAGGCTGCCACTGAGCACGTTTGCTAGTTTATCAGAGCCAGCTCATCCTTTTCTGACCAGAAACCTGTTGGTGTCCAGCTACAGAGCAAATCAGGCCTGGAGGGTGCTTTCCGGGATGAAATGGTGCTTAGAGACCAGATTCAGTCCTGTGGCTGAGGAGCAAGGATCTCAGCTCATCCTGCAGTTTGATTCATATGTTTACATGTTAAATAAGTGGTGATCTGAAATCCTCAACTTCATCTCTTAATTTATAGCAGAAATTCCTAATATCTTTCACATTTTCTTCCTTTAGCTCTTATTCCATTCAGGAGTGGAAAATATGCAAGTGACCCTTGCATGCCAAGCAGCTCAGAAAAATGCCTTGATGGTGGCTGTCCAACAGGCATCCTTCTATCACACGCCCTGGTGGGACTGTCCTGCTGATGTGAAGGTCAGCCTATAAGATAGAGAAACCTGAGCCATGTTACCACTAGGACAGCTGATGCCAGGCTACCCATACCGCCCCTTCTTCCCTTTAGCCTGCCCCCTCTCTCCTCCCTTCTTTCCTTCCTCCCCTTCTCCCCTTCCTTCCTTCTCTTTCTTCCTTCTTTCCCTTCTCTTCTATCATTTTATCTTCCCTCCTTCCCTCCTTTCCTAATGTGAAGTCAACACATGACCAAATCCTTACTGGGTCTCTTAATTTTTAGTGATTTGTTAACCATTTTTTCTTTGTATGTAACTCTATAATATTGGCTAGCTAGAATCAGCCAGCAGAAAATATCATGTTCTTCCACCTCTACCCTTTGTAGATAAATAATTTTATTGTTTTCTGTTTTATTCTTCCTGCATTTCTTTTTGCAAAAGTAAACGGAGACATTTGTCCCTTCTTTTTTCTGCAAAAGTTTACACATAACGTATAACACTTTCCCCCTCAGATTTCTTTGGTTGTTATTGAGATATAATTCACATAACATAAAATTTACCCCTTTAAAGTATATAATTCACAAGATCTTGTAACCATCACCACTATCTAATTCCAGATCATTTTCATCACTTTCAAAGGAAATCTTGTACCCATTAGCGGTCACTCCCCATTCCACCCCCTTCCCTCAGCCCCTAACAAACAGTAATCTACTTTCTGGCTCTATAGATTTGCCTATTCTGGACATTTCACATAAATGGGATCATTCAACAAATGGCCTTTTGTATCTGGATTTTTTCACTTAGCATGTTTTCAAGTTTCGTCCATGTTGTAGCATGTATCAGTACTTCATTCCTTTTTATTGGTGAGTATTATTTCATTATATAGATAGACCACATTTTGCTTATCCATTCATCAGCTGGCAGTTATTGGGTTGTTTTACATTTTGGCTATTATGAATAATGCTGCTATGAACATTCATGTGCAGGTTTTTGCAAGGACATATGTTTGTTTGTTTTTTTTAAAGATTTTATTTTTTGACAGAGAGAGAGCGAGAGAGGGAACACAAGCAGGGGGAGTGGGAGAGGGAGAAGCAGGCTCCCTGCCAAGCAGGGAGCCCAATGCGGGGCTCAATCCCAGGACCATGGGATCATGACCTGAGCTGAAGGCAGATGCTTGATGACTGAGCCACCCAGGCACCCAAGGACATATGTTTTGAGTTTTGCTAACCCTTGTTAATGTCTCTTTTTTATTTTAGTCCTCCTATTAGGAGTAAAATGGTATCTTATTGTAGTTTTGATTTGCATTCTCTAATTATTAATGACATTGAACATCTTTTCATGTGCTTATTGGCCATTTATATGTCTTCATTAGAGAAATTTCTATTCAAATTCTTTGCCCTTTATATAAAATAAAATTTGCCATTTCATTATTTAATTATGAGTTATTTATGTATTCTGAATACAAGTATCAGTATATGTATAATTATCAAGTATATGATTTGCAAATATTTTCTCCCATTCTGAGGGTCATCTTCTCACTTTCTTAAAGGTATCCTTTGGCCAGAAGGTTTTCATTTTGTTGAGTCCAATTCATCTAGTCTTTCTTTTGTCATTAATTCTTTTGGTGTCATATTTAAGAAATCATTGCTGAATCCAAAGTCACAAAGATCTACTCCTCTGTTTTCTTCTGAGAGTTTTGTTTTAGCACTTGCATTTAGGTCTATGTCCATTTATGGTTAATTTTTTTTTTAAAGTCATTTTTTTTTAAAGATTTTATTTATTTATTCATGAGAGACAGAGGGAGAGAAAGAGAGAGAAGCAGAGGGAGAAGCAGGCTCCCAAGGAGCAGGGAGCCCGATGCGGGACTAGATCCCAGGACCCCGGGATCATGACCTGAGCTGAAGGCAGATGCTTAACCATCTGAGCCACCCAGGCGCCCCATTTATGGTTAATTTTTATGTGTAGTATGAAGAAAGGGTCTAACCTCATTCTTTGGCATGTGGTGTGCTGTCCCAGCACCATTTGTTGAAAAAAATCCATCTATCCCCATTGAATTGTCTTGACACGTTTGTCAAAAATCAATTGACCATGAATGTAAGAGTGTATTTCCTGACCCTGAATTCTATTCCATTGTTCTATATGTCTATTATTTTTATGTTAATACCCCTGCTGTTTTGATTACTGTAGACTTGTGTTAAGTTTTGAAATTAAGAAGTACGAGTTCTCCAACTTTGTTCTTCTTTTTCAAGATTGCTTTAGCTATTTTGAGTCCCTTGCATTTTCATATGAATTTTAGGATCAGCTTGTCAATTTCTGTACACACACACACACACACACACACACACACACACACACATACACAAAACAACATTTGAGATTTTGACAGGGATTGCATTGAATCTATAGATCAGTTTGGATACTATTGCCATCTTAATTCTTCTGATCCATGAACATGGATGTCTTTCTATTTATGTCTTTAATTTCTTTTAACAAACAGTATTTTGTAGTCTTCAGTGCACAAGTTCTATACTTCTTTTGTTAAATTAATTCCAAAATATTTTATTCTTTTTATTATGTTATTATAAATGGAATTGTTTTCTTAATTTCATTTTCAAGATGTTTATTGCTAATGTATAGAAATACAATTGATTTTTATATATTTATCTTGTATCCTGCCACCTTACTAGTTTATTAGTTTTAATAGTTTGCTTGTATGTATGTATTCCTTGGGATTTTTTTTTTTAAGATTTTATTTATTTGAGAAAGAGAGCACAGTCAGTGGGGGGAGGGACAGAGGGAGAGGTAGAAACAGACTCCCCACTAAGCAGGGAGACTGATACAGGGCTCAGTCCCAGGACCCTGAGATCATGACCTGAGCTGAAGGCAGATGCTTAACCGACTGAGCCACCCAGGCATTCCTCCTTAGGACTTTTTATACACAAGATCATGTCATCTGCAAATAGAAATACTTTCACTTCTTCCTTTCTAAGCTAGATGGCTTTTCTTTCATTTTCTTGCCTAATTGCCCTAACTAGACCTTCCAGTACAAGGCTGAATAGAAATGGCAAGAGTGGGTATTATTATCTTATTCCTGATCTTAGGGAGAAAGCTTTCAATCTTTTACCACTAATTATGATGTTAATTATGGGTTTTTCATAGATGCCTTTTATAGGTTGAGGACATTTCTCTCTATTCCTAGTTTGTTGAATGATTTTATCATGAAAGGGGTTTGGATTTTATTTACATATACTCTTTTGGACTTTGTTTTTTCACTTAACAGTATATCCTGAAAATCACTCCACATCAGTTCATAGAGATTTTCCCCCCACTTTTTTTAAGCAACAGTATAGTTCTCATGTGTATGTATGTTCACCAGTAAAATTAAACATGGTTTTAGGAAATCAACTTTCCAGGTGGCCTTTTAACACTAAGTCTTATAGATTCTATACAGCTCACCATATGTACCCCTTATCACATTTCTCAACCTCTATTTATCTATTTCTACTCTTCATGTTAATAGGAGAATCCAAATTTATGAGTATGGCAAGCATACTCATTCCTCGCTTCTACTGCCAAATAGTAATTCCCATAGAAATTAAATACTGAAGTAGAAAATAAGGATAGAGTGAGTTATATTGATTTTTTTAAATCTCAACCCCCCAAACCTTAATTTTTTTAAATCTCAACCCCCAAACCCCCCAAACCTTAATTACCTCCTATAAGTTAGGCTCATCAGATAATACTGAGGCACAATTCGTGCTCCTGAGGAACTTACAGACCAGGGTATATAAGGGGGACAGGCACACAAGTGGTTTAAGCACAAGGCATAAAAGAGGTTTAACAAGCTATAGAAGGAATTTAAAGAAAAGAAAGGTCACATCTGGGAAACTAGGAAGGGCAGCACAGAGAGGGGGCATTTGGGAAAACCTGAAGGATGAGCTTTTTGACAGGAAGAAAGAAGAGCTTTCAGATCACTCAGGCTTAGGAACCAGAAAGGGCAGATGGGTACTAGATAAAAATGAGGAGTCCAGCTTGACCACCACTGGTGATTTTCATACATAGTTGACATAAGGAATTCTTTATTCAAGTACTTTAATCTTATAAAGAATACTAATATATAAGACAGATACAAGTGGGTCTATTCTTGTTAAAATGGAGAGTGAGAGGATTGAGTCCCTAAGATCCATTCAAAAAGCAAATGTTGAAAGTCGCTGGATTGGAGCACAGGGCAGGAATAGGAAGACATTAGGGTTACATATATTTACATATATGTAATATATATGTATTATGTACATATATTTACATGTATATGAATGAATATGTAAATATATAGTAATATATGAATATCTAGTAATGTGTGTGAATATATAGAAATAATGTGTGAATGTGTGTGTGTTTATATGCTCTCCTACACGGGTGGGACAAGATGAGGACTGATGGTATAATAAGGAGGAATAAATGATAGAGACAACGAAAGGGAACAAGAGGAAATGAGGGAAGGGAGGAGGGACGGAAAGAGATGAGAGACAGGGAGAGAACAAAATTGTGCACTGCTATCAAACCAAAAGAGAGGAATGTTTCAGGAAGAAACGGAGTCACCAAAGAAGATGTACAGATGGTAAATAAGCACATAAAAAGGTGTTTAACACCTTTATAGTTATTAGAGTTGTTAGGGAATGCACATTAAAACCCCAGTGAGAAACTACTGCATACCCACTAAAATTTAAAGGACTGGTTAAAATTTAAGAGACTGACCATTTTGAGTGTTGGCAGGGATGTGGAAGATCTGGAACTCTCATATACTGCTGAAGGGAATGCAAAATGGTCAATCACTCTGGAAGACATTTTGACAGTTTCTTAAAAAGTTAAACATACACTTACCAGGATTCCGCTCCTAGGTATTTATCCAAGAGAAATGAAAACACATGTTCATACAGAAACATACACAGATGTTTATAGCAGCTTTATTTAAAATAGCCAAGACCTGGAAAGAACCCAAATGTCCCCCACCAAGGGAACAGATAAACAAATTGTGATATATCCATATAATGGAATACTACTCAGCAATACAAACAAATGAACTATTGAGATACACAACAATATGGATGAAGCCATACAAAAAAGAGTACATACTGCATGACTCCATTTATATAAAATTCTAGGAAATGCATTCTAATCTATAGTCAGAGAAAGCAGAGAACAGCGGGTTGCTTGAGAAAGGGGGCTGGTTGGATGGGATGGTCATTCTGATTGCAGTGATGATTTCATAGCTGTATACATATGCCGAAACTTATCTAATTGTACACTTTATGTGTTGTTTATTAAATGTCAGTTATATCTCAGTAAAGCTATTGTTTTTAAAAGAAGAGGAAAAAGGAATAAGAAGTTGAAAGCTGATAGAGTTAAATGTAGAGGGAAGAACCAGAAGAGCAGGGATTAGAATGAGGCCATTTGACATTCTCAAAAGCTCATTGCTGACTGAGGCAGCAGTTCTAAGGGGGCTGAAAGCAACACTTGCTTGAAAGCAGGGCTGTCAGAGTGAAGGAGTGAGAGGGTGATAGAAGGATAGAAGCAGTGTGCATTTATTGTTCCTGTGTCAGTCCACCTAGGCTGCCGCAACATAATACCATAGGAAGTTTTGCTTCCACATTCACTCCTCCGCCCTTTATCATTACCTGTTCATGGCAGCATATATAGCCTACCTCCATTGGTTAGGCTGAACCACAGTGGGTACCCCGCCTCAGTTTCTCAGACCTTGCAGCCATGAAGTCCATCAGCAGTGTTTCTTGAGAGGCCACTCTAGTCAGAACACACCAACTAGCTATCTTGTAGAATGGAGAATTTTTTTTCAGGGCAATTTAGGCAACTGCACTTTATTCTAGAAATAGTTACACTTACTGCCTCACCCCCATATTGTGCAAAATCTCTCTTCCCTTCCCTCTTGTACTCTGTCCTCTCCTCCCCTCTGTTACCCTTCTCCTCTCTCTCTTCCACTCCAACCCATCTGGACCCCACATACTCGGGCATTTTACGTGTATTTGCGGTCAGTTGTGACCGTGAGATCATTTTGCGGCCAGTACTACAGGACTTACAAATCCAACAAATTTAATTCACTTTGGTTTAAAACATTTTAGGAAATAACTTCAGATCTGAGAAATCATGATGGAATAGGTCCAGCCAGAAGAAGAAATTCCAGAATTGGGAATGGCATAGAGAACTTACTAACTTAGCCCCAACTCCAAAAGTGCCAGACACCCTTACTCATCCTTCAGAAAGACTCCAGCCTACTAAAAGGTACTACCCTAGGTGTTTGTTTAAAATAACAAAGGTGTCTGCTTTTAAGTCAGTTAATAACATAGACTGTGGGATTGAAGGATGTCTAAATTCCCAAAGTGACCAGCATGTGTTTAATTTTTAAGACCTTGTATGAAGACAGACAGAACACAAGGAAGAAGAATATGGGCCTCTCCAAATTTTCCATGTTTATCTTAGACTGAAAAGCATGGAACTGCCCCTCACTACTCTAACAAGGGTTTTACCAATGCTTAGAATAATAAGGTGCTGCATTATCAGAGAGCTAGAGCCTCTACAGAGAGATGGCTATAAATCAGGAATGTCCTATAATGTTCTGATCTCTCTACCATGACAGAGAAAGGGAGATATTTGTATTCTATAATAAATATTCTGAGTATTTCCAATGATAGTTTAATTTAATTCTGGCAAATTTAAAATGGAAAAAAAAACAAACAAGCAAAACTACTCTACTATCCAAGATGTCATCAGTCTGACATATGGCCAGAGTTCAAATACCCTAAGTTCACATTCCCAACATGTGGATGGAAGATTTAAGACCAATATGTCTAGTCAAGAGGACCCTTGCGTGGCTACTTCAGTCCAGGAACCCCTGCAGTAGAGGCCAGGGTAGGGACCTGGGTAGCATAAACACTGAGCCAGGCTCTGGAGTTCGGGACAGAGGAGGGACTGCTGGTACGTGCTCTAGGCACATGGGGACCACAAGAAGGGTGGTGACACATCAGCATCCCTAGTGAATATAATCAGAAACATCTGAAGAAGATGAGAACCATGGAGACAGAGCCACCTGCTCTCCTTTTGCAATGCCTAATACTCAGCCCCAGGTTTCCTGTCCTCCAGGGAGCTCTTGTGTTGTCTTCTTATTATATGTACACTTACTTCCTGCCTTAGGCTCAGATGTCTGTCTTCACTTGTCAGGGCTCCGGAGGCTTTTGTGTCTATTCAACTAGAAAAGGTGGGGCTGCGGGAGACACGATGCTGACACCTTCCTCCTCAGGAAACAAACCATGGCCGACAGAATGAAGAGCCTTGTGAGTTTAGTGAGAAGGGCTCTCTAAAGCTCTCATTATCTTTTACATTTGAGCAAATAAAAATTCTTAACTTGTAATCTGTTGCTTTCAGCCTATTTGGATAGGACTATTGAAAATATAAAGAACGTAAAAGGGAATTCAATAAGAAATAGAAAGGAAGTAATTCAAGCTAATTGCAGTCTAGTTTTTAAAATATGCACATTTTTTCCAAGACCACATTTTATTTTGTCACTTTCTAAACGGAACTAGTTTTAGCACCTGCTCTGGAACATTAGCCCACTCTTGAGTGACCCACAGATGTTCAGGGGATTTAGACAAGGTGAGCAAGGGCTCTTACTACCTAATTCATGTGTTATCTGATTATCCAGATATTAATGACGTGTTTCTATTTAAGGATTTTATACTAGCCTAATCTGTTGGAAAATACAAAATTCAAGCCTTTAAGCAGTTTGAAGTATTGCTTAATTTTGTGAATAAGGTTTCATTATTCATTAATTTTTTGAGGAGGAAGTCACTAGACTAATGTATATTTCTTTGGGAGAGAAATCATAGGTTTACAATCTCTAGGCTTCTTCCCTATCCATGACTGAAAAGGAAAGACTTAAATTTCCCTTAATCCAGTTCTACAAATGGGATGTGAGGGAGGCCAAACTTCTAGACTACTGCTGAGCAATAATGGAGGCAGAGGACTCCTTTTAATAAGTAATTGAAATATTCAATTACCTTTTTTACTACTATATTAAAAAAATATTGACCAAATGAAAAATTTTATAGCTCATTAACTGCACTTCAGGATTATCCAGTGCCTATCAGATTAGAAGACACAGGACTCCTAGGTCATAGACAAAGAACTTTATGACTCACAGCAGAGCAAGTGACATGACTTTTATGTTTGTATCAGTTTTCTTTGCCTCCCAAGTCCCAAGAGGGCAACAGAGAGGAGCCTAGATGTATGCAGTGGGTTTTTGTCCCAGTCAAATGACACTGAGCTTAAGGAATCTACCTCTTTTTGTGGCAAGCTTGCTATTTTTCCTGGAAGGAGACATTACCCATCCCTCAAGGTTGCTCTTTGCACACAGAACCCTGAGAAATGGCCCAAGTAAAGAGTGGTCAGGGCTTTGCATTCTTGGCATACTCAGCAAGGTGTGCAGGAATGGGAGAGAACCATGGAGGAGTATTTCTCAGCAAGTTGGCCTTCAGAAAGAATATCTCAACTCTGCGGCCTTTTCCTACTTTAAGTTTGATAAGTTTGTATACATTTACTAGGATGGAGAGTTTTTATAGCCAACCATCTAATAGAAGAACTATCATTCTCTTTTATTACAGGATGAAATTGGTAAAGTCAAGAGAGACGTTATAGTTGAATATTGTCAGAAGTAAGTATGGTATATGTGAACAACATATGCTAATTTCTCTGCCTCTGAATTCAATAAACTGCAGTGTTATGTAGAAATCCAGACAATGAGTCAGGTGGTTTTCTTAATTATTTATTTATTGTTTTCTACCAAACATTTATTTATTTACATATTTTAATTTAAATTAAATTAACTAACATATAGTATATTACTAGTTTCAGAGGTAGAGTTCAGTGATTCATCAGTCTTATATAATACCCAGTGCTCATTACATCACATGCCCTCCTTAATGTCTATCACCCAGTTACTCCATCCCCCACCCCTCTCCCCTCCAGCAACCCTCAGTTTGTTCCCTACTATTAAGAGTCTCTTATGGGGGGTGCCTGGGTGGCTCAGTCAATCAAGCATCTGCCTTTGGCTCAGGTCATTATCCCAGAGTCCTGGGATAGAACCCCGCATCGGGCTCCCTGCTCAATGGGGAGCCTGCTTCTCCCTCTGTGCACTCCCTCATCTCTCTCTCTCAGATAAATAAATAAAATCTTTTTAAAAAGAAGAGTCTCTTATGGTTTGTCTCCCTCTCTGATTTTATCTTGTTTTATTTTTTCCTCCCTTCCCCTATGATCCTCTGTTTTTTTTCTTAAATTCCACATATCAGTGAGATCATATGATAATTATCTTTCTCTGATTGACTTATTTCACTTAGCATAATACCCTCTAGTTCCATCCATGTCATTGCAAATGGTAAGATTTCTTTTTTTTTTTTTTGATGGCTGAGTCATAGTCCATTGTATATATATATATATATACCACATCTTCTTTATCCATTCATTTGTTGATGGACATCGGGCTCTTCCCATAGTTTTGCTATTGTGGACATTGCTGCTGTAAACATTGGGGTGCAGGTGCCCCTTCGGATCACTAGGTGGTTTGTTTTTAAATAAACACAATTCTCTTGGATAAAACCAAACCAAACTATTCTCTGACACTTAGAAGTGAAGGATGGGAGGTGCTTTGAAGAGGTTCATGCCTCTGCCTTCAGGCAATGGCAACCTGACCCAGATAGAACTTTCTTCTTGATGAGGTCCTCTATTATCTTTGAAAGATCTTTTAGGGAAGTAGATCCTTCTGAGAAGGAATGGGATGGAATAACTTTGATTCACTTTGTGGACACCATCTCTTCTGACTTTTCAGGTTCAACAGCCGTGTCTCACTATGCTCTTTGTGGTCAGATTATGGCATACTGCAATAGCCTGAGAGCCCTGGTGGAAGATTTCCCTACCATCAGGGACACCTTTTTCATGGTGGGCCAACCAAAAGAAAAGAAAGGGTTGAGAGACTCCAAGGAGAGCCTCAAGGCTGACCCCAGGTGTGTAATTTCCTTTAGAGCTTTTTACTCCCCCTCCATACCCTACTCCTCCCAGGGAAGAGGGAGGAGGCATGTTAAATTTGGTATGGGAATCTTTCTTTCTTTCTTTTTTTTTTTTAAGATTTTATTTATTTATTCATGAGAGACAGAGAGAGAGAGAAAGAGAAGCAGAGGGAGAAGCAGGCTTCCCACCGAGCAGGGAGCCCGATGCAGGACTCGATCCCAGGACCCTGGGATCATGACCTGAGCCGAAGGCAGACGCTTAACCAACTGAGCCACCCAGGTACCCTGGAAATCTTGCTTTCTTTACTGCATTTGACCTTGATCTTCTGGTTCAGAAGGGCAAAAGAAAGAGCTAACACTCTAAGAATAACACTATCTTTGTATTTGAACCCAGAAGAGGTTCTTTGTGAGCTGTTTCACTGCTTTTTTAATCTATGCAGTTTTGTTTTCTCCTGGAGAGTCCAGAGATTTCCATCAGTCACACCCTTTTACATAAGCCGGCATCTAAAATAAGCAAACAAATAAGTAAACTTGATCTTGAGCTGTCCTGACTTCAAATATTTTACTCAATGGAGCAGAAGAAATAAGAAACACACACACACACACACACACACACACACACACACACACATTGATATACCAGTGCCTTAGATAAATCTGTCCTTCTGTATTTCTCTGGCGGAGGAAAAAAAATACATGTAGAGTGATATTAAGTGATAAGAGCAGAGCTGCTTCCATATTTCCTTATCATGCCTTATCTAGTTTCCCAATGTTCTTAACTCAACCTGCCTGGAGTTCACTTACCTAGTTGGAGGAGTTAGTATACCTGTGCAGTCAGCGACCACGTTTCCTTTAAAAAAAAAGAAAGAAAGAAAGAAAGAAGGGATGTTACACAGTTCTGCAGTCTCCAAGGGGGAGCAAAAACATCCTGCAGGGTGAGCTTACTTTCCTCCTAAGGTACAGAGCTTAGTGTTGAGTAATAGTAATACTCAAGAAATATGATCATAGAACAGATAGATGAAAGTGAATTGAAAGACCATATGTATCAGACCACTCATTCACTCACTTATTCATTCATGCATTATTCAACCAGCATTTATTTAGTGCTTACTTAATATCAGGCACTTTGCTATGTGCTGGAGTTACAAAGGTAAATAAGCCACTGACTCTGGCAGTAAATTCAGTCCAGTGGGGGAAAGCTCTGTAAACAAAAAAGTAACTTCAAAGATTTTAAAGATAACCTGCTAGAGTTATGTGAAATGTTCTGTGAGGACACAAAAGAGGGAGTGTTAACTGTAGCCTATGGCCTAAGGGAGAAATTCAAAGAGGAGGTGACAGGTAAGTTGGAGCTCACCAAAAAAAAATGGGGATGATAGAACAGGCTAGAGAAATCTGGAGAATGAAAAACACTTGGGTTTGTAAGCCCTTGACTAACTGATAGCTGACTACCAAAATAATGACCAGTCCTACCTTGATACTTTTATAGGTACCCAGTTTGTGGATACCAGTGTCTGTCTCATGAGCTCAGCCAGTACATTCACTTGGGGAGACTTCCAATGGAAGAATGCATTTGAAGGAAGGGCAGGGCAAATACACCTCAGTAGACTATTTTGCTGAAGGGTTTGACTGTACACCTGTTGCCCAATGAGGCTGAAGTGTATCTTTCTCTCCTATGAAACATCACAGGATAATCCTCTAAGACTTCTTTCATTATCTCATCTACCCACTAGCCAAGTCAACCATTTATAAGCCCTATCTATATTTGGGATCAAATTTTTAAAATAGTTTCCAGAAGTCTAACCACATGTCACTACATTTGTGTTTAGGATAAAATGTATTCAGGAAGTCTGTTTTTATTTCTGATCTGTTTTTATTTGAAGCACCCAAATAAGGAGGTCAGGAAGTAGAAAGAAAAAGAAAAAGAATGTATCTAACTTACAGGTCTTGCTCTATTCCTGTATTGTTTATTGTAGATGACTGTGTGTTTCCTAAAGATCAAAAGAAACCATCATTTTGGTTTGAAGGGGGATGAGCCTAGAGCCCTAAATCATCTGGTCAGTTATTGTGTGATGATTTCACGGCAGGACTTTAGTCAATAAAAGTGTGAGTAAAGTAAGTGCTCACCCAGAGCCCAAGTCATAGAGTTAGACAGTGGATGAGCAGTGACTGATAAAGATTCAGTACTTTTCGACTATACCTGTCTCCTACTTCCGAAACTCTCTAGATTTCAACATGTCCCTTTTAATACACTACAGAGAATGGAACAATAGAGAAATGAACTTCTGTCTTACGTGGAAGTTTAAAAAAGTATTGTATAAGATTATTTTTAACTCCAAAGTCTGTGATTCCATGTACTGAGTATTAATAAAAATGAACATCAGCCACAAGGAGGTAGAATGGAACGAGTCATGGCCTTGGTGTTAGAATATTTGGACTTTACCCAGCTCAATTATAACTTGCTCTGAGGTTTCAGGCTAATCACTTCTCTTCAGTCTCTGAACCTCAACTCTTCATCTGATGAGTGAGGAAATTAAAGCAGCTCTCTGAAGTTAAACATACTAAGATTTTTAGTGCTAGGATATCTAGAGTTTGATTCCAAGGAATGGAACTGCTGAGGAAAGACTTCCTGGAAAGGGGCCATTTAAGAGTTTTCATGAAATGATAGATGAGAATCACCCCCAGGACAAGTTTAACTAGAGATGAAGGGACAGAGTGGGGGAATGATGAGGGTCATGGAGGAGAGAAGTCCTCACTCACCTCATTCTTAAAATATGGAGTTGGGTTAGGTTGAAGATAAAAAATAAGTTTCCTTTAAATGTCAATTCTAACAATTAATGCCCTGCTGAGGATTCTGAGCCATTCCAAGCTTATGAGAGTGTTGTAATTGATTGACAATGTCTGTCATGGCCAAGGACAGGGGCAAGGTGGCCTCCCTGTTTGTGTTTGCCCTCCCTTGACCAGAAGAGCCCCATGAATTCTGTAAGTTTAAAATCCTAAGATGCTATTTAATCCTCTAAAGGCTGTAATGTACTGTGTTTAGTTTTAACAGAGACCGCGTTATCCTCAAACCAAAGTCTCTATAGAAGAGGAGCCAAGGGGAGTTCTCCCAAGAAGGATGCCCCTTAGGCCTTCTTGCTTTTCATGGCTCCAGAGGAGACTAGAATCTGGAGACTGGGTTGATGCTTGGCCACATTCCAAGAGCAGTGGTGTCAGCTGATTGAGGAGTGAAGAAAGGAGAGAGAGGATATTCACATTAATCAAACCCTTACAATGTGACAGGTAGAGCCACCACGATCCCATCTGGTGCTTTACGCACATTAAAAGAAGGTACTCTTTCCTCTGGGTAGGTGTAGCCCCGTGCCAGGGTGCAGAGCTTGGCAAGTAAAACATAGGCTGGATCTCAGCCACTGCTGGCTGCCTTAGGGCACAACCTGAACAGCAGTACATGGTAACTTTGGTGCCAAGTGCTGTACAGCAATGGATAGACATGGTCCTTGACCTTCATGCAAGGGGAAAAAGGTAATTTTTTAAAAAAGATTTTATTTATTTATTTGAGAGAGAGAGTGAGAGAACGAGAGAGTGTGTGAGGGGAGGGGCAGAGAAAGAAGCAGATTCTCTGCTGACCAGGGATCCTGACGTGGGGCTCCATCTCAGGACCCTGAGATCATGACCTGAGCTGAAGGCAGATGCTTAACCAACTGAGCCACCCAGGCACCCTGGGAAAATAGGTAATTACAGTACATTGTGATAAAGAGTAAAATATAATAAGAGTATAATAAAAGCACCCACCAGGAAATGTTAAGTATTATCTAAAGAATTGGGGAGGTGGGGATGGGGAGCAAGGCAGGCTGCAGGGAAAAGGGAATGCTTAACCTGGGACTTAAAGGATGGTTAGTGTTTCAGGTAGACCAGGAAAAGAACTTCAGTTCAAGCTGGGAGACTCACAGTTACAATGACACAGAGATGTGAGATAGCACGTGAACTCCTGAGTGGCTCCTACCCAGGGTATGTGAGGATGAGCAATGGAAAGTGGAACATACAGAATGATAGGCAAGATCCAGAAGTCTGGCATTTGCCCTTCAACAGCAGGAAAAGGGGGAGTAAGATGATTGTTTGGGATCTCATTTAGGAAGCTACTGAAACTGTACAGATAGGAGATATTTAGGAGGTGAAATCAGTTGGCCAGGTGCTGGATTTAATGGGAGGCTAAAGAAAAAGGAGGAATCTAGGGTTTCACCCAGAGTCTCTGGCTTGGGTAGATAAAAAGATGGTAGTGCAATTATTGTTTAATTGGTATAGAGTTTCCATTTTGGAAGATGGAAAAAAGTTCTGGAGATGATGGTGATGACAGTTGCACAACAATGTGAAAGTACTTAATGCCACTGAAATGTACCCTTAAAAACGGTTCCAATGAGGGGCACCTGGGTGGCTCAGATGGTTAAACGTCTGCCTTCAGCTCAGGTCATGATCCCAGGGTCCTGGGATGGAGCCCCTCATCGGGCTCCCTGCTCGGCGGGAAGCCTGCTTCTCCCCCTCTCACTCCCCCTGCTTGTGTTCCCTCTCTCGCTGTGTCTCTCTCTGTCAAATAAATAAATAAAATCTAAAAAAAATGGTTCCAATGATAAATATTGTTACGTATATTTACCACAATTTCTTTAAATGGGGAAAAATGGCAGTGCCATAAAAAGGAAGAAATGTAGAGAGGGAGATAATGAATCCCAGCTCAGAAGCCTCAGCGGTGAATTTCTTCCAATAACCTCCCATCAGGTCCCGGATTCTCCCTATTCTAGATGTTTGCTGCACTTTCAGATATGGTTGACCCTCGAACAACACAGCTTTGAATGTGCAGGTCCACTTATACATGGATATGTCTTTTATAGGTATGGTAGAGTAACTGTAAATGTGTTTTCTTTTCCTTATGATTTTCTTAATAACATTTTCTTTTCCCTAGCTTCTTTTATTATAAGAATACAGTGTATAATATATACAATATACAAAATAGGTGTTTATCGACTATTGATGTATCTGGCCCACAATAGGCTATTGGTAGTGAAGTTTTTGAGCAGTCAATAGTTATACACAGATTTTCAATTTTGAGGTGGGTCAGCACCCTCTGAACCCCTGTGTTGTTCAACGGCCAACTGTACTTCTTCCACCATGCTTCTATCATAAATCATGCTTGCACATCTAGCTGCCTCAGAAATGTAAGAGCCCTGAGGGCAGTGGCCATCTTCATTTCATATCCCAGGTGTGTACCTCTGCCTTTGACCTTGATTGAAGGGGAGGACGGGGGTGGGGGAAAGGGCCCACAGGAAGTAGGGGGAGTTCCAGCCAATGGCCTTTAATTCAATTTTGAAATAACAGACCGTGTCATCATCTACTGGCAGGAATTTGGTATGAGGCTGAAAGAAGTCTTGGAATTATTAGAAAAGGAAATGGGCATGAGAGCTATCAAAGGAAAGAATAAGGGTTGTCCCAGGGTGACACAGCTCAGGCTGGAAACCATTTACTCGTTCTTGCATCAATACAATTAGTGGTGTGATTTCCTCCAGCTGTGCTCAGCAACATGCAACTAGAAGCAGAAAGCATAATAGCTGGAGGGATCCAGAGTTGGGGTTTTGCTAGGTAGGTGAGTAGTGAATACAAGAAATCAGAGACTGGAAAGTTCTGGTGAGAGAGTAGTTCCTTTGCTTGACTGCTAGACCCAGTCTGGGCAGGGAAAGGAGGGAGGTCAGAATGGAACTGACAGATGGAAGGGGAGACTAGAGGGCTGGACGATGTCAAGGAGCATATTTTGTGGGGATAATGGAGGTTTACTGGGAGTGAATAAGTAAGAAAACTGGAATAAAAGGTTGGGATAGGAAAAGATGGGAAAGTGGGATGTTGAGTTTAAGTCTTTGGAGGTGACATGATCCCAGGTAATGATAAGGTCTGGAATGTGGCCCCAGAGTGGGTGGCTGAAGGGGAATGAAGATGAAGGGGGAATGATACTGACCAGGTCAAGGAACTGACAGGCTAGAGAGTTGATGGGCCATCCACAAGGAGGAGGGAGGAATCCTCCTTGCGGGACTGAGAACCAGGTTATACTCTTGTACTCTGCACCCAGAGCTTGCTGCTACTCTCTCTGTCCTTCCTCAGCAGATGGCTGCTCGCTGCAGGCAAGGGTGGAAATGGAAGGAAAGAATGGAAGAGAAATAGAGGGTAACACTTGGTAGAGGGCCCTGCGGCTCCGGGGATGTTTGTGCTTCTCCGAGGCCAAGGACTGGTTCAGTCACCCTGCTGCTGCCAGCCCCTTGGCCCTCAACCTCGTGTGCTCGGCTGCAGACCTGGTGACTTTTTATTGTTGATATCTGATGTTTCTTTGGGGCACCTTTGGACATTGTGAACTGAACAATAGAGATAAGACTGGATTACACTGGCTTTGATCTGCTCCAGGACAGGATCGTCTGACTTTGTGATTGCTGAAATAAAGAAATTCTCCAAACTAACACCATCCTTTGTTCCCAAGCTTCAAATTACCTGATTAAAACCCTGAGACTTAAAAGGTAGCTTTAAGGCCAGTGATTCACTTCACATAGATTTTTAATGATTCAAAAAGTCTCATACTCTGAGTGATATTGAAAACATACAGCCCTCAGTTAAAATGAATTACATTTTACTTTAATAAGTGGAAGGGTCATCTGAATCTCTCCCAGAGACCCAGAAACAATAACAAAAGTAAAAAAACAGCCCTGTGATTTCCAAAGTGCCTGCCAGAAGGTGAGAACCTCCCACCGAGAGTCCTTGCTGGGGACAACGGAAGTGGGCGTGAAAACCAGGTACACGTATGGGAGAATAGTGGGATGGGTAGGACCTGAAGAGTAAAGGAGAAGAGAGGCTCTAAAAGTGACTCCCTGATTTCTGGTTTGGGGCCTGGGGGTTGTGGCTCTTTTAACACAGGAGGAGGCACAGGATTGGGGTAGAAGAGGGTAAGGAGTTCAGTTCTGCCTTGTTTGGCTGAGATGCTCTGAAACCCTGTCAGCCAAGAGGAAGCAAGTTGGAAGTGTGGAGCTGTGGAGGGGACCAGGCATGCACAGGTGGATGCAGGTGTCACCGGTGAATGGATGGCATTTGCAGCCAGAAGAGTGGACACAACTGTCCAGGACTAGGGGCAGAGTGGGAAGAGCAGAGCAGAGGGCTGAGGTGGACCCCAGTTTCCCTGGACAGGGGTTGATGGGGGTTGCTCCACACCCATTGCACACCTCCTTCCACTGTCTGTCTGTCTGTCTGTGAGGCTTGCCTTGTCTAGCATAACCGAGATGGGTCTGAGGTGGTACTCGTCTCTGGCCTTGCCCTAGAACCCTCAATTCTAGGACATCCTCTCATTAGCGTGTTCAGGTTCCCAGTTGTTAACAAATAATCCCAAGGGTTCCTACCATGCCTCTCTACTGGGCCACAGGTGTCCCTTGCCCCCCACCCACTTTTGGCCACTTTGCTAGATACCCTCACCTTAGCATTCTAATAACAAACTTTGTATAGCACCTCATAGTTGATTAAATACTTTTCACATGCTTGGTACTCATTTTAAAAATTATTCCTTACATCAATTCTGTGAGTTAGGAATCATTATCCCCATTTTATGTATGAAAAGACTCAGATGGTAGTGCATCTAAGGCCACACAGCTGTGGGTGATGGAAGTTGGTCTCAAAATGGGGTCCTCTGATGCCAGAATCCACACCTGTTAACTGCACATAGCACCATTTTCACACCAGATGAACACAATTAGACTTAAAGGCATCAAACCATTCAAATGGAAAACAGTCCCCTCACCAACCCTCTGTTAGAGTGGCCACCTCATTCCTGAGATGACATAGAAACCAGGTCAAGATGCCACCTTCCCCCGGCGGGTATACAAGAAAGATCATGGGCTTCCATTGGTGTGAAGGTTAAAAACTCGCAAAACCCAACAAAATAATCTTTTAATGGTTTATCCATTTGTGGTAAAACCACAAAGAAAAACTTAACAGTGATGAATGTAAAATTCAGGATGGTGGTTTCTCCGAGGGCCACCAGGGAGGTGCACATCAGGCTTCCAAGGAGCCGGTGAGGGGCACCCGGGTGGCTCAGTCGGTTAAGCATCTGCCTTCTGCTCAGGTCAGGTCTGGGATCAAGTCCCACCCACATCGGGCTCCCTTCTCGCAGGCAACCTACTTCTCCCTTTCCTCGCTGTTTGTGTGCTCTCTAAAAAATAAAAATAAATAAATAAAAATAAATAAATCTCAGTTTCATCTCTTAGGAGCTGGGAAGGCAAACTCTCATAGGGCCTCAATTTCCTCATCTGTAAAACAACAGAACAAGTACATTCTAAGGACTTAAGAATTCAGTGAGAAAATACGTAACCCCAGAATGGTGCCAGCCACCTCACTCATGTCTTCTCTTTGCTTTTTTACCACACCTTTCCTGCCCTCCAAGCCCACTCCTTCCTCCAACACAGCTGAGGCTAAAAGCAGCCTCCCTGCTCCTCTCCGCAGTTATTTATAACCCGGGCCCCCTATGAGCGGCCTGAGAAGGAGACGTGCGGGCCAAGGCTTGGACGCCAGCCTCGGGCTCCTGTGTCACCACAGCCTGGGCTCTGGCGCTGTGGCCGCAGGGCGGTGCTATAAATAGTGCACATCGGGGCCGCCTCCTTTTTCCAAGAGAAATGCTGTGCCGACCCAAACTTTCTTATAATGCCGCAGGAGTTTTCAGCCGCGGCCTCGGTGTTTGCTGTCTGCTGATGGGAAAGTCTTCCTCAATTTATGGTTCCTACCACATCCTTCTGAAGTGCTGGGTATGTTCAAACCTCTGCCAGAAAAGGTTTGTATTTCTCTATGTGTGCCAGAATGAAAACTGGCTGGGACTTTTTTATGTCTCACGGTTAAGCATATCAATCACAGAGAACATCTCTTGTTTTTTTCCAGGGATATCTAGTACCTGAAATCTTCACACAGCTCCCAGTGTTTTTGCCTGCTTTATAATCCTTTCTCTTGGGCCTCATTATTTCCCTGAGTTCTGTTTCTCCCTAGTCACTAATGAACGCTAATTTGAGCTTCCCGCATTCCTTATTAATCCTCAATTTCCTCCCACACCCTTCACGAAAATCCCACTCTGTTGCCCCGAAGCTAATGACAGGTCGAGATCACAATCCTAGTAATCAGCCTGTTTTTTGAGGGGTTGCTCTGTGTACCTAACTTACTGTTAGAGGATAATATTGATAAACATGAAAAAAAGAAGTAGATCTAGAAATACACAGAGTACTCAAATAAGTATTTTTTAAGTAAAGTGCAGTGCTGAAAAATGGCCATTTGGGAACATTCTGACTTTTCTTTAACAACCTAGGTTTCTTACCCTTTTTTTCCTCTGCCCAGTTTTATTGAGATGTAACTAATAAGGAAATTGTATGTACTTGAAGTGTACAACATGATCTAACATATGTGTACATTGTGAAATGATTACCCCAATTAAGTTAATTAACATATCTATCCCCTCACCTACTTACCTTCTTTTGCTTGTGGTGAGAACACTTATCGACTCTCCTAGCAAATTCCAAGTATGCAATACATTATTATTAACTATAGGCACCATGCTGTACATTAGATGCTCAGAATTTATTCATCTGAGAACTGAAAATGTGTACCCTTTGACCAATGTTTATCCATTTCCCACCCCTTGGTAACCACCTTTCTATGAGTTCAACATTTTGTTTTTTTAGATTCCACATATGAATGAGATTGTACAGTATGTGTCTTTTCCTATCCGGCTATTTTACTTAGTATAATATTCTCCAGGTTCATCCATGTTGTTGCAAATGGCAGGATTTTCTTTTTTTAATGTCTGAATAGTATTCCTCTGTGTGTGTGTTTCAATTTTTTTTTATCAATTTATCCATCCACTGGACACTTTGATTGTTTCCATAGCTTGGCTATTATGAGTAATGCTGCAATAGACGTGAGAGTGTATATAATCTCTTTGAGATACTGATTTTGGATATGTACCCGGGAATGGATTAAATGGTAGTTCTACATGCAAAAGAATGAAACTGGACCCCTATCTTTCACCTCTCATAAAAATTAAGTTGAAGTGGATTAGAGACTAAATGTAACACTGGAAACTGCAAAACTCTTGGAGGAAAATGGGAAAATCTCCTTGACATTGGTCTTGGTGATGATTTTTTGTATATAATATGAAAAGTATAGGCAACAAAAGCAAAAATAAATAAATGGGACAACATCAAACTAAAAAGCTTCTGCTCAACAAAGGAAACAATCAACAAAATGAAAAGGCAACTTAGAGAATGGGAGAAATATTTGCAAACCACATATCTGATAAGGGGGTAATACCTAAAATATGTAAGGAACTCCTGCAACTCAACAACAACAATAAAATCTGATTTTAAAATGGGCAAGGGTCATGAATAGACATTTTTCCAAAGAAGACAACCAGATGGCCAACAGGTACATGAAAAGATCCTCAACATCACTAATCCTCAGAGAGAGGCAAATTCAAAACCACAACGAGAGAGCACCCCATGCCTGTTAGGATGACTATTGTCAAAACAACAAGAGACAGCCGGTGTTGGCAAGGATGTGGAGAAAAGGGAACCTTTGCGCACTGTGGATGGGAATGTAAGTTGGTGCAGCCATTATGGAAAACAGTATGGAGTTTCCTCAAATAATTAAAAATAGAACTTTCTCTCACTGAAGAATTTTAGGAGTTTTAAAATATGTATTATATATTTTATAATTATTAATTATAAAAATAATTATATATTATATATATAAATACTACCTTCTTTAAGTTGGATCGTAATTTTCCACTTTTCCTTCACTTGAACGTTAATAGTTAAGATCCAGGGTTTGATTTTTTTTAGTTGTGTGTTTAAACTACATTGATAAATACCTATGTTTTGCTTACAGGTATTCCCTCACAGCAATGGTGTCTGAATATGGGTTCCTGCTAGGAGTTTATCTGTGACCCTTGTAATCTATCAGTGGTCATACAAACACATTTTGCTGTGTTTCTGGTCACCAATGTCTTTAAGCAAAGAGAAACACATTGCTTTAAATCCCTCACTCCAGGAGTTACCTTGTCCAAAGGCATATAACCTGGTTGATGAATGGGTTTGTTGTTCTGTTTTTTAGATATTATCCTGTATTGTATTGTGAAAATGTTTAATATTCTTGTTTAAAGATATTATCCCTAATCAATGCTCATATATTTTTATGTGTCTCTTAGAAACGTCTTAAAATGTATTTTTTCTGTTGATTTTACCCACAGGCAGCTTTTCGAGGCTTACAGCTAACTCTACAGCTGTTAACCCCTCTCCATGACATTGTGGCCTACCTTTTCAGTTTTGCTAAACTTGGAAATTGTCCAACATGCTTTGAATTTCCTCTAAGTGCTAACCCCCTGAAAGGTGACTGGGGAGGAACTGAGGGCATTGGTAAGTGATTAGAGGTGATTCAGATCACCTTCAGGATTCACTTCAAATTCTATGAAGCTCTTTTCTTTCCCCAACTTCACTGAAGTATAATTGGCAAATAAAATTGTAAGCTATTTAAAGAGTACAAAGTGATGGTTTGATATACACATACATCATGAAAAGATTCCCCCATCTAGTTAATTAATATGAAGCTCTTAATACTTGGAAAGATAGAACTAAAATATTTTTTTTCATAAATGACAGTGAGAAGAAGGGCAAAGGGCAAAACCTCATGATATACTGTCTCCAAACTAATTAATTCCACATTTACAGGTTAAACCACAAAGTAAAGCAAGCCAGGAATGGGCCAGCCTGGATTTTTACCCTGTATCTGCCACTTGGTTCCTGGAAGCTGGACACTTTACTCTCTGGGTCTCTCTCTCCATCTATAAAATGGGGGTGATAACACCTGTTTCAGGGAGATGTTCTGTGGATTAAAATCTATGTAAAATTTCTACAAGAATGTACATGCCCTTCTACATGCTAGTTTTCTTTCATCCCCTTTCTGGCCTTTGTGAGCTAATATGTCAAGGTCAGAGCCAAGCATTTATTGTCAAGAATTTTTTGCAGACAGTCTTCTGTTAGCTAACAGCAGCCTGATAGTCCTGAAGTAAGAATGATTGAGACTTTAGTTTTATCCTAATCCATAAACCCTAAATAAGCACTGAGTTCTAAGATAAATGCACAAGGTAAATTAAAGACTGAAATGCTTAGTAAGCTGGGTTGATCAAAAGTAGGGAAACTGATCTTGTTATTTTAATAACTTAACTCGCAGCCAAATTATGTCACTAGTTATGTAAATATTAATTAACCACAATATATTATAACAGAGTAGCCAAGGATTTTAAAGGATGAGAAGAGCCAATGGAATGAGATAATAATATGCCTATTTAAAACTAGCAGTCTTCAAACAAATGTATAATACTCTGAGTCTGTTCCTCTCTGGCCAGCGCATAAAGAAAAGGTGTTTGTGGGAGACCCTGACTTGTTTGCTGGTAGATTTGCAGGGTGCTACTGAGCACTGAAGGAATCTGTAAACGTTCAAATGGGAGACCTAAGGAAGGGTATGAGTGGTGATCCTGGAGGAAGGTTGATGCCTGTCTCTGAGGAAAGGCAGCATGAAGAAAGGATAGACTGGGGCTGACTCAGCAGAAAACACAGAATTGTCAACAAACTAATGACATTTCAAAACTACTAGCGTGTCTTCAATGTAAGAATCAAGAGAGTAGAGAAGTTCCAAAGCATACTTAGGGCCTTTTACTAATTCCGGGACTGTTACATAAGGGGTTTACTCAGAAAATAAGCTAAGATACTCTTACGGGAGCTGCTGGATTTGGGGAGGGTGCGGGGGCTGGGCTTTATATGAGGGACAGGAGAAAGGGTGGCATGGGAAGAATGCCCTCCCTGCCCTTGAGACAGGGAGACAGAAGCCGAGATAGAGCCAGAGCCATCTTTCCCAAGGAAGACCCTGCATAGGAACTCCTCCAGCATCTGGGAGGGCAGAGCCTGCAGGGAAGGTGATCTGGGGGTACTTGTCCTCCCTTGAATCAATGGAGAAAACTAGAGGGATGGTCTTGGCAAGACAGGAAAAGGACACTGGCAAAGGCAACAGGCCAGACTGCACATGGCCAGTCCAGAGACGGGTGAACCTACCAGTGTGACACTGAGCAACAGTAGGATATGAGGCCAAATTGTTGAGGACCTAGAATTCAGGATGAAGGAAATCAGTTTCTTACTATTTATATGCTTCTGAACCAGAAACCACTGAAATATGTGGGGCCCAGGCTTTCCAAGGTGTGCAATTAGAGGCATGCACCGTGTCATGTTGCCAGCGAAAACATTTGTGCTCCAGGGAGAATGTGCAAAGTTTTGCATACTCTGCTCTGCTGAAAATAGATAAAGAGCAAACTGAACTAAAAAAAAAAAAAAGAAAGAAAGAAAAATCCCACTCTAAGATAATCATCTTTTTTAAAAAGCCTCAGTTGCTCAGTTCCTGGCCTCCTTCCCAGAAGGAGGCAAGGAGAAGTCAGGTGAACGGAGGAGATGAGTCTGTTCATATCTTCTCCCAACTCTTCTCAGCTATTGCCAAGCTATTTGGAGTTAGAGAAAATGACTTTTGTGGGCTTATAGGCTTTAAAATATTTTTTAAGGGGACACTCCACATTTCAGCTTTGGTCCTCCCACCTGACTGAGGAAGCAGCTCTTTGACACTGAGCATGAGCTCTGTGGACCCTGCCAAATCCTCTCCTTCCTTGAAAGCCAGCAACTCCCTTTGGATCAGCAGAGGATGTAATCAGCATGTGGGAGTTTACACTGTGATTTCCTTGTAAAGGTTTAGGAGGCCAATTAAAGCCCAAATACTATCCACTAAACTTAGGGTTTCAGGAACTCTTGAGACAAACTAAGCACAAAGTGTACCGGCTCTTTAGTATTCACGTGGAGACAGGCCATTGTGATTCCTCTCTCTCTCTCTAATTTCCCAAATGGGACCCTCTTGGGGAAAGGCTCATTTGTTTCCTGATGTTTTTCTGGCCGAGGGTCTACTCCAACCCCCCGTACCCCCACCACAACTACACGGCAACCATCTGCCCCATCCTCACGGAAAAGCTGACTGCCCTGCCCTGCCTGCTACCTTCCCTCCCACCCAGCAGCAGCTTGATCCCACTAAGAAAGGGAAGCCTAAATGAGGATCCTAAAATCTGTAAACCACAAAGAAAGTGGAGTGCCCACCTCCACATCTGTGTTTTGGTGATAAAGCTGCTGCTACCTATCAGCACAGAACAATTTTGCTGGGCAGTGATGGTATAAAGATGCACATATAGCCTGCACGTAAATGAAAAGAGAAAAAGTACCTGTAACCAACGACTGTAACAAGAGAGAGATTCTTGTTTGTCTTTACTACCTTCTAGCCCTTGTCCAAACACACTTTACATTTTTTACAATTTTTTATTGTTATGTTAATCACCATACATTACATCATTACATCAAACACACTTTACATTTAACAGAGCTTTCATCATAGGGTGTGTGCACCTTTATATTCTTTTTTCATTGTCATTGCAGAGGACTCTAAACCTTCCCCCAGTTGCTACTTAGCCTGACAGAATGTCTTGCTTACAGACCATCATGCTAGGCCTTCAACAAATAAGGCTCACTGACAATACCCCTCCCATCCACCACTAAAACTCTTGTATAATTCACTCTAACATGACTGCTTGTCTGGTGGAAGTTTCTTTTCAGTCCAACATGACCATCAGATTTATAGAGAAGTCATAAAAATTTTAATGATTGGATCCAATTTTTCAGGGGCTGGACGAGTACCTAAAAAACATTTTTCTCTTGTACGTAAAGCATCAGATGGATAGGAAACCTAGACTGCTCATCTCATCCTAAAGCCAAAGGCGTCTGTTGCAAGTATTAGCAACTCTTCTCAGTCCTGGTTCTGCTCTAGTCAGGCTCTCATGGACAGCTTCCCCATTCCCTCAATTCCTCTGCCTCCCATGGTTGTGGGAAGATATCCAATACCAGACCAGATAAGGTAGAAGGCTGCTCAAGTCTGGACAAGCTATGGAAAGAGTAACTCTGGAAATGCCTCATAGTTATCCTGTCTCTCTTCTGCCTCAGGCTATATATCAGGCACAGTGACCACAGTGACCAGTTTCCACAATCTTCTTCCCATAGCAGGGATGTTCTGTCACGTAGGAAGCCATCACTGTCCTCACTGGGAGTTGAGGAACATTTCAGATCATTCTAATAGCCCTGGAAGTGTGGGCCCACCCACTTCCCCACTCTCCCTAAGAACTCATCATTTTCTTGCTGTGCTCTCCCATTCTGACTAGCTCCTCTCCTGGGCCAATAATAGAGATGCTACTCCAGCCATCTAGACCTAGGTCAGTTTCCTCAACCCGGCATTGAGTGCCATAAAAGGCCCCTAAATTAAATTTCCTTTCCAAACACATATAAGTCTGTTTATATCCAGCCGACTTTTGCAGTAAGGGTCCAAGAAATAAGTCAGTTTAGGATCTCTCACACCTACTCCTAAAATGATGAGAAGCTCCTAGAAGAGGTTGTGTGTGTGTGTGCACGCATGCAGGAGTGAGTGCATATTCCTTCCTTGCCTTGGATGGTCTTTTTTTTTTTTTTAAAGGTTTTATTTATTTATTTGACAGATAGAGACACAGCGAGAGAGGGAACACAAGCAGGGGGAGTGGGAGAGGGAGAAGCAGGCTTCCCGCTGAGCAGGGAGCCCGATGCGGGGCTTGATCCCAGGACCCTGGGATCATGACCTGAGCCAAAGGCAGACACTTAATGACTGAACCACCCAGGCGCCCTGCCTTGGATGGTCTTGAGTCTTCTTTAATCCATGAGCCAGTGACAGGATGAGCCAGTGACAGAGGGGTTGATTTGTATGGCATGGCTATGAGAAATGAATGCTGGTTTATAATCTATAATAACTTTAAGCCCCTAACAAATCTACTGAGACTTTTCCCATTCCTTGTGATTCTTTTTTTTTTTTAATCTAGAGGCTGTAACCTTGTAAAATTTAGAACTTTCATTCAACAGTATGTTCTTATTCTGCTGAAAAGCAAAGCAAATTTTTATCTTATTGAGGGAGGAAGGAAGGAAGGAAAGATAAATCAGACCTTGGGCTCTAGAACGTAAGACTTTGCTGGTCTTGCAAAATATATAATTAGTATGCTCAAACAAAAAGAAGTACATTTAGGTAAAAAGTTAGCTTCAGAGGTGAAATGATGGCTCATAAGGTTAGCTGTCATGGCCTGTATGTCACACTATCTGACTGAAATGTCATCCGTCTTCCAGGGTCTGAGCTTCAAGAGCTGCAGAAAATGATTGACAGCCTCCAGAACCCCCAAGACCCTATCCAGATGTCCCAGGCACTCCTCCTTCGAAGGGAGGTTATATTTTTGCAGTTTGATGCTGCAGTGAGGCACCTCATCCGGTAAGGGCTGGAGCGTGAATCCTGTCCAGTTAATTGTGTAGGGCATGTGCTTCCACCATCAGGGGAGGTCACTCTTGGCAAGATTGAATAAGGAGCTTAAAATAGTCACGGGCACAACCTGATCCAGAACACTGTGACTACCAAATGTGTCTTGCTGCAAAGCCTGTCCATGTAGAATGTGTTCTTTTCAGATTATGATAGTCTTGATTTTATTAAATGTGATTTAAATATAGTTAATTGTTGGGGTGCGTGGGTGGCTCAGTCGGTTAAGCGACTGCCTTCGGCTCAGGTCATGATCCCGGGATCCTGGAGTCCCGAGATCGAGTCCCGCATCGGGCTCCCTGCTTGGCAGGGAGTCTGCTTCTCCCTCTGACCCTCCCCCCTCTCATGTGCTCTCTATCTGTCTCTCATTGTCGCTCTCTCAAATAAATAAATAAATAAATAAAATCTTTAAAAAAAAATAAATAAACATAGTTAATTGCTATAAAAGCAATTGCTGCTTTTACTGTTCAGGTTGTTTAATTGGGAATAATATTTTTTATACCTCTGAAGATGATTTTAAGAGTTTTGTTTATTCTTTTTAGCCCTTAATTACCTTTCAAAAGAACAGAATTTTCACTGCACTTGTGAAGCCCCTGGAATTGGCTACCTACCTGAGTTAAATTTATAAATTCAAATAAATAAATTGTAGCTATTAAGTACTCTGCATACAAAAAACAAAGTCTCTTTAGTTAATTAGTCATGACTGATGAGAAAATTAGTTTGGATTGAGAGTCATACTGTTTCTAGGATAAATAATAAGTTTTGTATGGGAAGGGAAGAGGTCAGGCCTGAGCATCTCTGCTTATTCTTAAATTGTCAAAATCAATTAACTTCCTGTGATTAATTCCCAGTGTAAGCATTTAGCCAATCAGGGGGACCTCAGGAGGCTACGCTCTTACCTGTGGATTGCAATTGCATTCCACCATTATTAGCATGGGCATCCATAGAGAATGGAAATGTAGGGATTGAACTGAACTCTATTTTCTCTTTCTATTCTGCATTTTCTTTACTCTGAGTATCCGGGGTCTCCGGATTCAAATTAATTCAGCAGAACAACAACAACAACAAAAATTAGACTAATTCAGTTTCTTTTTATCGACAGCTTTCTGAGCTGTAGTTTTAGTCAAGCGGGTAGGATGTTAAGACCCTAGTTGTCAGGAGGGCCATTCATTAGCCCCCTGACTTTGAAAGCCCAAGCCAGAATTTGTGGAAAATTTACATAGGATGAAGAAATAGAACTATACCCTGGAAGTTCTTTTCGGATTCCAGCTGTGCAGGGTTCAACTTGCTACTGTTCTCCCAGGGGAACCAGTCTGCTTCCTCTAGGAATTGCTGTGAGGGGCTTTCTTTGTCCCGGCACACTCAGTCTGCAGGAATGGAGGGCACTGTGTCCTATGTCTGGTTTCAGTAGATTCAGTATATCTTTCAAAAGACTTTAGAGGGAACCGCTCAGGACGGTAGATCTCCATGAGTCCCTCATTTATCGCATTTCCTCTAGCCTTTTCATTTGGGGCTCTTCAGAGTGTGTATATGTTTGGAATCACACAGTTAGTAAGTGACAGACTAGAACTAGAACCTACATGCATTTGACTCCCAAGCCTGAGAACTAGGATGGATGCCAGACAGCAGTGTGGAGAGAAAAACAGACTCTGGAGAGAAGGCAGGAAACAGGAGAAAAAGAGAAATGAAAAGATAAATGTCATCCCACTTGATGATTCTAGTTGCTGATTCTACTGCTAAACCTGCAAACAAGGAAAAGTCCTCAGATAATCAAGAGACAGGAGCGCATGGCGGAGTTCCCTCACCCTTCCCCAAAGTTTAGCAACTCTGAGAAAATCTGACTGTTGACCCCAGGGAACTTTTTGCTTATGTTAACTGAAGGCTTCTCCAGAATTTGAAAAGGAAGAACTGAACTTTCACCTGGAATGAGAGTAGCATGCTTCTATTTACTGTGGGGAAGTGAGGAAGGAGGTAGCTCAAGGACATCAAGATAGTGGCCCTGTGATCACCTAATATCTGGCTCCTGCTAATATGTGGCATAGATCAGATCTGGTAGCAGGATAGATGCACGTTTCTTATTTATTTTATTTATTTATTATTTATTTAATTTAAATTCAGTTAATTAACATATAATGTATTATTTGTTTCAGCAGTACAGGTCTGTGATTCATCAGTCTTATATAATACCCAGTGCTCATTAAATCATGTGTCCTCCTTAATGCCGATCACCCAGTTACTCCATTTCCCCCACCCACTTCCCTCCGGCAACCCTCAGTTTGTTTCCTGAGATTAATAGTCTCTTATGGTTTGTCTTCCTCTCTGGTTTCATCTTATTTCATTTTTTTCTCTCTTCCTCTATGATCCTATGCCTTGTTTCTTAAATTCCCATATGAGTGAGATCGTATGATAACTGTCTTTCTCTGATTGAGTTATTTCACTTAGCATAATACCCTCTAGTTCCATCCACGTTGTTGCAAATGGCAAGATTTCATTGTTTTGATGGCTATATAATATTCCATTGTACATATATATGCCACACCTTCTTTATCCGTTCATCTGTTGATGGACATCTGAGCTCTTTCCATAGTTTGACTACTGTGGACATTGCTGCTATAAACATTGGGGTGCAGGTGCCCCTTCAGATCACTACCTTTGTTAGATGCACGTTTCTAAGCACAAAAGTTTCACTCTGTCCCTGTCAACCTGCCCTCTACCAAGCTCCTGGTGGAAAGTGGTATTGTCCTCCAAAACCATTGGAACCACATTGCCCAGGGCCTGTCACTTCTGGGCATGTCCACGAACCTGCAGGAGTTATTTACTAGCTGATGCAAGAAATGCCTGAGAAGTGAGCTTATCTTTAATTTTAGGTGAAGTAATCATTGTGTTGAAAGAAAATGCTTGGGTGGTACAGCAGGTCTAATCGATCTTATCTGTTTGGCAAACTTCTATCGTAGGCCCCTGCCTGATTTTTGTATGGCCTCTGGCCTAAGGATAGCTTTTACAGCTTTAAATCATTGGGAAAAAAATTTCAAGAAAAGAGTACTATTTTGTGGCATATGAAAGTTATATGGAATTCAAATCTCAGTGTCCATAAATGAAGTTTTTTGGAACACAGTCATGCCCATTCATTTATAGATTATCTTGGACTGCTTTCACACACAGTTGAGTAGTTGCAACAGAGACCATATGATCCACAAAGATGAAAATATTTACTATCTGACCCTTTAAGAAAAAGTTTGCCAACCCCAGATTTAAAGGATTGGATTCCTTTGTAATTCATTAATGGAAGGAGACAAAACAAAGCAAACAAAACAAAAAGTCCCTTTATAGGAACTCTGTAGAACAGAATAAAACATATGGCATGGGAGGTGCCATTAATCTGAATGTATTGCTCATGTTTGGAGTGATTAGGGCAAAAAAGGAGAAACTTAAGGCGAAACCCTGAAGGTACCAGTAACTTTTGCAGCAAGCCGGAATTGGGAGTACAGAAGGGATCTCTAAAGAAAGCCACACCACCTTCTCAGTCCTTAAAGTTTTGTGGGTTTTCCCTTCATTTTTAAATTTATTTTTATGCTCATCTAGCTTAAGTGTCTCTAAACACAGAGATATTAAAGTGTGCTTCAGGGTATCTGGAGATTTCTTAGATACAGAGAAAGCCTCCTGTGAGCCAGGCCTGGCTTATGACCATGGTCCTGGTCCCCAGTGTCTGAGAAATGAAGAGCCACATCCTCTGCCTGGCCTCCTCTGGGCTACTTTGCAGGTGCTTTTGTTGTTGTTTTGTCTTTTTCTTTCTTTTTTATATCCTTACATCCAGGAAAAACTCTAGCATGTGCCTTATGAATTTCCTGCTCCCTGTGATTTGAACCAGCTTGCCTGGGATCATGCCACAGGTAGATCTCTTACACACAGGATGCCTGGTGTGTTAGGAAACCTTTGCTTATTGACAATAAGGCAGCTGGAGGGTGGCAGAACAGTTTGGAGAATTCTGTGTATCTATTCTGGGATTTTATTAGGTTGGCAGGTGCAACCTGACCCAAGCAACAAGCCGGCCTTTCATTTCGGTGGGCTTCCTTGTTTCTTGAGTGCTGCCAGCAAGCTGTGCTGATCAGACATACCCTCTCAGAAGACACAGGCCTAGGTATTACCAAATGAGGGTCTCAGTGAGTTGCAACAGGACCCCATAACCTGTGTTCAGTATTTCAAAAGGCATGGTGAAAAAGACACATTTGCCCAAAAGCTCTGCAGGTAAACAAAATGTCAAGTTTCTTTCTTTTTTTTAACTGGAATTCTAGAACTGCGATAAGGGAGAGAAGACATTTGTTTTGGTTGAGTTCCCACCATGTGCCAACTCTGTGGGATAGAAATCGTTTTCCCCATTTTTACAGATGAGGAAATAAAGACTAGAAAAATTGCATAACTTGGGCCAGTCACACAGCCTGTTGTAGCAGAGCTTCCATCGTGCAGTTTGTCCGACTCCAGAGCCCTATTCCTTCCTTTATATCATGTTTCTTCATTTCTTCCTGCAGCTCAGAGCTGGGGCTGGAGGCTGATGTGGTGTTGAGTTAAAGTTGGGAAAATGCTTAATGGCTGTTTGGTAGAAAAATCTTTCAAAATATGGGGTCCATGGAGGGGGGAAATAAAAGAAGATCTATGCTAAAATATATTGGGTATCATCTTGAGACCCCTTTATTCACATAGCATTAGAAACATTCTATTGAGGGCGCCTGGGTGGCTCAGTTGGTTAAGCGACTGCCTTCGGCTCAGGTCATGATCCTGGGGTCCCGGGATCGAGTCCCACGTCGGGCTCCCTGCTCAGCAGGGAGTCTGCTTCTCCCTCTGACCCTCTTCCCTCTCGTGCTCTCTATCTCTCATTCTCTCTCTCAAATAAATAAATAAAATCTTAAAAAAAAAAAAGAAAGAAACATTCTATTGATAGGAGCGGGATGGGTCCTACAAAGGACAGTGATCCAGACTGAGGAAGGACAAAAGTGGGGAAAAGAATAGCCAGTGATTTGGTCAGTAGTGCTGCCTGTAGTTTGACTCTGGTCTCTCTAGAGAGTATATCATAGTCTATGATTCTGTAGCTTGGGCTAGCAGCCATATTCACATCTGAATGTGTTATATTTTTGAATAGTCTCCAAGCATCCATAAATTAATAGACCTAGTATGTACACCAAGCTGTGTCTGGGGCTCTAAAACTGTCAGACATTGTGTTCGTTTGTGGCACTTGGTAGTTACAAAGTTCTGCACAAACTTGCCAGGATAAGAGAGCACGTCAGTGTTCTGTGTTCTTTTATGTGATTGTCAGTCGGGTATGGCCACAAGAAGAGAACAGAAAAGACCCAGGAAAAACAAAGTTTATTATATTCATAGGTGCTAGAAACAGGGTGTATGCCATGACACACACAGCCACACGGGAAAGCCAGGAGAGTGCTGAGGCCATGGCCTGGAAAGGCAAGGCAGGGCAGGGTGAACAGTTGAAGATCTGCTGGGTTGAATAATTCCAGTGGGCTCTGGGTGGCAGAGGTGGTCTCTAGTTGTCTGTTGACTAGCCCTGGGATGAATAAAGCAGAGGACCATTGCCTCCCTACGTGCAAGGGTCAGATAGAAATGGTATGGCTTTGGATTGGTTGGTTTGCGTATCAAAGCCATGCTCCCTGCTGAGTCCTTTGCCATCTCTAAGAACTGGCTAGCCCAAGGAGGGGCAGTCTCTTTCTTAGCCAGAAAGGTCTTTAAAGATGTTAAAACATCCATAATAAACAGAAAACAAATTTAAAAATGTAAGCACTACATTCAAGGATTGAACAGGTAAGATGTGAACAAAGCTGGACCCAGAGGCCAAGAAAGAGAAAGAGAAATCATTCTATGATTTGGTGGGAGAGGAGAGCAGGAATGATATGAAAGGAGCCAACCAGGCAGAGGTTGTATGGGCTTCTGTGCTCTTGATTTGGGCTGAAAATAAATGTTTCTATTAGAATATTCTGCTTTTTGGTACCATTGTTTTGAGGAGATCCATACAATCTATACAAAGGTATGGTTGTAGAAAGTACCATGGGAGTTTAGAGGATGCTGAGAAGCAGCTGGATAATGAACTCTGCCTCACTGGGCTCCAAGTAGGCTAGAATGTCAAACCCATTTTTGTATCTTGGATAGTTCTTGCACTTTGCTTTGTACATAGTAGGTGAATCATTAGAAAACATGTGAAAGATATGAAGAACAGGAGAAAATGTTCTCATTGAGCAACTCCAGGCTCATCCTTGAAATATCCGGATAAATCAAATATTTTTTTGAGTCTCTGAGTATAAAATAATATTCAATTATCTTTTTTTAAATTCTCATTAAAATGTGAAAAGGTGGTATGATTTTTGTACTAGTACAATGGTTTGATGTAAAAATCCCTTTATCTGTCTTTGAAGTAAAGTTCACAAGCCCCTTTTGCTGATGGCTAAAAGATTAAACTTTCTAATTCCAAGTCATTCAGCCACATGTAGAGCTTAAAAGTGGTCAGTTTGAGATTTAAAATTAATTAATTCAAGGTTAATTAATCCCCGTTTCCCTTTGTTTTAATTGCCTCCTATTCACCCTATTGGTAAGGGAGGGGTTCTGCCCTGGGGGTTACGGAGATGGCCAAACACATGACACTGAACACTGGACAGGTGAGATCAAGAGCAGTTTACTAGTTATATACACTCACAGCCCAGGGAAGAGGACACTGCACGCAATGCAGAGCCACAGAGGAGTTGCACTTGGGAACACACTGAACAACCAGAAACAACCACAACTGCGGGAGACAGGCTTTGTAGTATCAGGAGGGTGTGACGTCCCCTCATTTCTGCAGGAGAATGTGATTGGTTCATTTGAATACTTTTGTGATCTGGCAGGGAACTGAAACCACTACTCAGGGATAAGCAGGAAGTGCACTTGGGTCCCTTAGAGAAGGAAGGTTATTGGACTAGGAGACCTTATCTGTGGGAGCAGAATGGAGAGGCGAACTTATAACTAAGCCATTCAAGGCCCTCTGATTTTACCAGGTGCGAAGGCAGCACATAATAGTGGACCTTAATTTTAGGCCTTACGCCACACTTTTCTCCTCCTTCATTGCTCTCAGACGGATGATGTAAGTGCCTGGGGGTGCTTATAAATCATCATAGCAGTTGAGGAGGAGAGGCTACTTCACCTACCTATCGTGGGTTATCTAGTCCAACCCCAGATCTCTTCTGATTGGCCTGATGCTCAGCACCACACATAGACACTCTCTTGTGAGGGCTCAGGCACTCCCCAGGTCTTTCCCCAACACTCTGATTGTCTGCTCATCTCTGGGAGACTGCCTCATTTCCCTCAGTGCTAGTACCTCCGTCAGTCATGGTTAATCACCTTATTTCTGATTTCTGCTTTATGTAAGACTTGGGCCAAGCCCATGGAAGATCCAGGCAAAAGGTCCCCTCTGTTTCAGGATACCCTCTCCTCAGTGTATCCTGTGTCAGCATCTTTTTTTAGGTATTCACTAGACCTAAGTTCTAGAAATAGTCTTTCCTTGCTTACTAAACTCTTATTTCCTTTTGTGCAAAAAAAGTCATTGTAATTTATCATGCATACTTCCTTCTCTACGACTTATGGTATAAATTTCATGCACTAGTCTTCAGGATTTTTCGTTCTTGATAAGCAAAGCCATGTTTTGTTCAAAGCAAAACAAAAAGCTTCCTCTCTCAAACCCCAAGATTTTATTATTTAATTTAAAATTTGGTTTTACATATCAAGAATTATCTCTGCTATTGGTCTTAAAATAGTCAATTCAACAAACAATCCATGTCTTTGTTCTAGAGCTACAGCTGAACTGTCCAAAACAATAGTCACATGTGGCTATTTAATTTAAAAGTTTAAATTAATATTGATTTAGGTGACATAAAATTTAAAATCCAGTTCCTCAGTCATAGTAGTCACATTTCAAGTGCTCAGCAGCCACGTGTAGCTAGTGGTTACCATACTGGACAGTCAAATTTAGAACATTTCATAAAGTTCTTTTGAACAATGCTAGTCTAGACTATATCCACCTTTCCCTTGAGGGTTGGTGAATTGTGAGTGAAGGGCAGTGTGTAAAGAAAGAGGGGTGAAGGTTGAGGTCGTTGAGGAAGAAACCTGTGTACGTCTCAGAATGTCATCCTGCTGCAGTAACTTTGAAGAAAGTTTTGAGCTTGAGAAGCTTTAATAACTGCTTTTAATGAGATGCCCTCCATGCTTGGGTAGAAGAACATTTTTGGCAGCTGGAAATGCTCCTGCCTACCAGTCTGTCACAGACGGCATGTATCATGGATTGCCACCACTGAGCAACTCTCTTGTGAAAAGCATTTTTGCTTCACAGCCCAGCCCGCCCCAGCCACTGGATCCATGGAGCCTACAGGTACGTTGAGAGGTATTTTTATACCTATAAACAGTGTGTTATACATCGGGGATTTTGGCACTTTGTTTCCGTGTAGTTTAAATTTTACAGGGTCTCTCCCTGCTCTAGAGCTCTTTAGCCTTGCTTGGCTCCCCTTCATTGACACGGTAGAGCAGCCTGGGCCCACTGTTATTCCCAGCCAGAGTCTTTGCCTCCAAACTGCTCAACAGGCAAACTGGGGCGATAGCTTATCTGCTCACAGCTGGTAGCAAAACCATCAGTTGATCTTTTCTATTTAATAAATAATAATGACAGCAATCACAATACATAAATTAGGTCAGCAGCTGAGTTTTGAAGAGCCCAGGTTACAACAGGTGTTATCAAATGTAATCCTGGCAACTTCTATTGCTCTGAGGCACCAACAATCTTACCCACTTTCTACAACTAAAAGGTTAAGGTTCTGGCAGGCCAGAGATCAGACTGCTGGGCAGTCATGGTTGTACTAGGTCACAAACTGTATTGCTAACAAATTACCCCAAAATTTAGCAGATTAAAATAATAAATATTCATCATCTTATATTGTTTCTGAGGCTCAGGAATCTGGGAACAGTTTATTGTGTAGTTCTGGCTAG